TTACTAAATACCAGCAAAAACTATTGCAGGTTTTTAACATACCAAAGCCTCTAAACTTTTTAAGCAGGATGATAAAGAGTGACATGCTGTTAAAGATGAAAATGAATATGGATAAGACTCTAGATTCTTCTAATTCTTTTTTTTTTTTGTTCAATGGGCTGCCAGAAAGATAAAAATAGCATATAAAACCTTTGCAGTTTTTCACCTACTAAAGACTTGGAATCTTTTAACCAAAACAATACAGAGTGACATGTTGGTAAAGATAAAAATGAAGATAAAATAAAACCTGCCGGAAGACGACCCTTTAATAATTAGAATGGGAATGAAAAATTTCTCTTTGGACGAATAGTTATTGATTATATATATATATATATTTCCAACGAGCAGTTGAAAATACTAAAATAGAAGTCAAAACTATTACCTATCAGAGACTCGAAAGTTTTGTAGAGTGAAGTCCAGAAAAAAAGCTTTAAATTCTTATTTGTAACTGGAATGGTAAATTCTATACTCGCACGATAAATGTGGTTAATAAGAAAGTCTTTGAGAATATAACATCGAACGCTCGCCGTGCAACGCACAGGAACAATACTAATATCTTTGAATTTGTTTTTGGATTGAGAGACAAAGTTCATATTGAACTATTTGGTTCAAACTGCAGCCCGGGATCATCAGGGAGGAGTATAATGGCTTGAAATCTCCGTCTACCATGGTCAAAACATGACGTGATTGAGATAATGTACTCCCATATTAATGTATTAAAGTGGTTTTAAAGTTGTTTTAATTTGCTTTTTTCATTCAAATCTAACCCCAAAAAAAGAAAAAGTCATTACTACGGTATATGTATGTATGTGCGCCCGCTTCCGCGAGCGACACATCCATTACATGATAATCGATAGACAATTAAAGATCAATTAAATTTCTGAAGCACAACACAAATCAATCACTGACATCTCATTTGAACTTAAAAAGTTTTATTAGACTGTCAACGAGCTGATATTTCGTTTTGTTACAGTTCTGTCGTTTTATTGAAGGTTTTATTGTTTAGAGATTTTCTGGTTGGAGAAATAATGGTATGTTATAGGTATAAAGCTCAAGGAAAAAAAAAAAAGGAATTCACCTTCTAAACAGTTTCAAAACAGCCATATTTAGATCCAATAACCCAATCAAAAATTTTTGCAGCCTGATTTTATACTACTCTCTATATTCCAAAATATTTACAATTTTCATTTTTATTACAAATTTTACATCTCAAATATATCATAAATCATTTTGAGACAGTGAAAATCCGTAACGAACAAAAGTACACATACAAAAGGTGAAAACATGCTTGAGACTTGAGTCAAACACAGAGCTCAAAACGAGCGGAACAGCCACATCACAAGTTTATACAGGAGAACGTACACACTCATGCGAGTCAAGAAGCTAGATTAGAGAACGTCCTTAGCACAAAAGGCTCTGGTTTTGCATTCAGGGGCTTGTGATAAGGTCCATAATTTTGTCATTTTGTGGGCTTGAAAGTTTGTTACTACACGAAAAGATGTTTGTTTTTTTTTGAGATTTTCCGTTTTTGCGATGCACCTCATCATTTTCCCACATCAGAAAGAGCTAGGATATCAAGGGGAAGGAAACTGAACCTTTACCTATTTTATTTTATATATATATAAAGGCCAAAACTTTGATAAATTGGAAAGTTTTCTTATTTCGATGTACCATTTCTAATTTCTTCTTTCTACTCACAGACAAAAGGCAAAAGACACCAGCAGCCATCATCATGGTTTCCTCTAACCTCTTCATCACATCATCAATCCCTCACTTTCTTCATCATCAGACCACCACCTCTGGTCGTTACTATCACCGGTTATTAAAACCAACTCGATCGAGAACATCAAAGCTCATCACAACTAAAAGGAGGAAAAAGAAGAAACAAAAGGGTCGTCAAAGATGAAGATGATATATTCTCCAAGGAAGAAGAAACGAAACCCTATTTTCCACATCAAGCTTTATGGTGGACTAATGCATCTGAACACTTGATCATTCATGAATCTCCACCAACATCTTCTTCTTCCGCTACTTCCTTTTTTCTCTTCTTGATCTCTCACTTTTGGGGAATGGAAGCGAATCGGTCCGACTGTTTGATTTCCAGATCTATGTATACAAGAACACGAGTTTATATGGTTTGAGAGGCAGGTAGGTTAATCATATTATATAAATGATATGATCGATCTCTTCTTCAATTTTTTTTCTTTCTTTGGGTGAGTTTGCTAGAGATGAATATTTTTCTGTTCTGGTTTGCTATTTGTCTCGAGACTTCTTGCTGCAGCAATATTGGTTTTGATTGATGTTTGCTAGTACCAATTTTTGAGTGGATTTTTTGTGTGAGGAATAATTGTTGTAGTCTTCAAGTTTGAATTAATCATGGTTTGGTTTGTTTTATGAAGATTTTGATTTTTATGGATATCTATAAAACCTTGTGCCATTTATGAAATTTTTTAGTTCTCAATTTGATGCCTCTGATAAGTCATGCTATATATCAACCTCCGCCGTAACGTTTTCTGCTAGTCTTACTCTTCCCAACCCATATTCAATCTACAGTTAATTTCAAGTACAGTTTGAATAACTACTTAAAATGAATGACGGTACATCTCTTGATCCAGCCATCATGAGTTCTTCCTCTTCCCTTTTGCCTGAAAGTATGAGAGGGAAGATGCATCACTAAGAAATTAAGCTAATTAAGAAGGTAACATATGTGGTGTAAAAATTGAGGGGACACTAATTAAGTTCTTTTTGTTTTTAAGTAAATTCATTTTCCCTAAACAATGAGCCAAATGTTTGCTCCAGCTTTCATCATGATTTATACTCAAAAGAGATGAAAAGCTCGCTTGGGTCGATTAAGAAAAGTTTTAGGGTATAATATCATCAATCATCAATTTAATTGTATTTTCTCTTTTTAAGGTCTTCATTACCATGGCATCGTGTTGCTTTGCTAAATAACTCTTTGATTCATGAATTGCATTCTACGCAAGAATACCTTGATCAGAAAGGACTAAGGAGTGCTTGATCTGGAGGCCTGTAGCGGAGATGGTAGGTAGGTGAGGGAATATTGACAATAGATGTAGAGAAAGAGTTGACATTAATTTCTTCCCCACTCCTCAACTCAAAAACTAAAGCAAGTCTTTACACAGTGAAGTAACATCATCATGCCCTTGGTCCATCTTCTTAATCATGACCATAAGTAAACGTTTCTGGCTTTCGTTTTTTTCATTTTTCTGGAAGAAAAAAAGAAAAAAAAAAACCAAAAAATAAAAACTCATAGTCAGGATTACAAGCAATTCCATTTTCCTTGATTCTTTCCCAAGTTTTAAAAACTTTTGCGTCTTGTAGTTGCGGTCTGATGGATATTCTAGCTAGAGCTCGTATCGATAATATGTTTATGTGGAGACACATGCAAAAATATACAAAAAGAAAAAAGAAAAGGGGGGCGCGTTTATATGATCAACACGCACAGGCATTGAGATGTACAAAGGGACCTAGGTAATTATGCCATGCATAGAGACTGAAATGATGGATTCAATGTCATGCCTTTGATGAGCATAATAATAAACTAAAGGGTTATGCATGTCAAAGTGTCAACGATCCTCTTTCTATTTCAAGTTTAAATTTCTTTGAAAAAAACTAAAATGAAAATGATGGTGTCTCCGACCTCAAATGCCACAAAATTTGTCTAGGATACCCTATAACCGGCCTGGGTCAATCTCACACAAAAAGTACGTAAAATCTGTAAATGTACCTATATATATAGTATATACCAAAACTTATTGCCTTTGCTTTTCTTTTTCCTCGCTTCTTCTTCTTGTTTAATTTCCTTTACATTGGATTCCAATTATTTTCCGCATTTTAATTTCTCAATAATTTATCTACCGTATGGCCGCCAAGAGTTAATATCAGTTCTGGCCAGCTACTATTAATTCTATGCCCAGCAAGCCGTCCAATGGTATTGTGATTCTGAGAGCTACTTTTCTTAATGGTGGCCTAAACCTGCAAACCGATAGAGCCTGATTGGATGCACGTTTAGTATATGCAGTTTGCCACTGCTCCGGCGCAGTTGTGCCGGACAGAGCCTGATTGGATGGATATAGATTACCGTTTTCCGATCAAACTACTAGCTAGTGGAGTAACAATTGCAAGGACAACGATGAATGTTTGGAGTGAACTATATATATATAGTGTCCGGAGATTGGTTCGTACAAACGTGACGTGACTCGAATGAGAAAATGATAAATTTAAGCAAAAATTCCTATATATACATAAAAATGATTCCAAAAAAATATGCTGCCCACCCATCATTAAGAGAGCTTTTCTCCGACTTATTTCACGTACGTAAGAAAATGAATGTGTGTGATTTTACTTATGTTCTTTCACAAATGAAACGTTTACTTTTCTTTATTTCTCCAATATTTATAATCAATAATTATAATCAATTTTGTATTAGTATAATAATTTTTATGATTACACTAGCTACTAGCATTTCAGAAGTCTCCTTTTTTGTTTTTCTTCTTCTCCATGACTATGTTCTAGACTTCCCGAGTATTTTTGGGAGTCCAACTTTTCTATCTTCCCTTTTTACTAATTCAATTACGTACAAAAAATAAATTATAGAAGCCGTAGTTTAATTTAGTAACAAGAACATACATATAATATGATGAAAATGTCACCCGGATTTGTTAATTTTTATATTAAATATTTACATATATATAACATCAATCTTCTAACTTCCATTTCTTAATTGTGTAACTGGACCATGCATTAATATGGCAGAGAAATACAAATATTATTTCTTCAAGTTATTAGAGTTTTTTAACTACTAGTAGTTTCATAAATCGCATAACTGATTATTATAATTACTCAAGATTTTTAACCATTCATATACTGTACATTTTATCAAAGCAACAAAACTTGAATGCATTTGTCACTTCACTTCTAGTGAAATCCTGACATGTAATGTAACGCCAGACTTACCCATTTCTCAATTGGGCCTATAAATAGTTAACCCAGCCCAGAATGTTATAAAATTACAATGTGTCTGTCACGCGCCTCCGTGTCACGTGAAGGACGAATCCCGCCATCCCACCGAGTTTTTGCCTTTCTCAAAAAATCCACGGAGGGAGGGAAGAGTAAAGACCTAAAATTTGTTGATTCTTTCTGCCTGAAATCCACCTAGGGTTTCTGTGGATTGATTTGAAGACAATCCGGAGTTGAATTTGGGACATCGTATGAATTTCTTCGTTGATTTTTAGGGTTTTCCTTTTCCTGAATTCTCCAATGGAAGATGCGTCGCGGTCTCGAGTCACTATAACCCTAGGCCGCGGTGGTCAGGTAAATTCAATCTAAGTTAAAGAAGCGGTTTTTATTCAATTTTTTTTTTTGTATTTGTTTCATTTCGATTAAATACTCTTTCCGATTCTTATTTCCTTGTTGTTTGTTTCTTCGTTTGTGCTATAGAAGTGGAAATGATCAGTTGGATTGACTTGAGATAATGTTTATTGATTATTCCCATTTCGTGTATCCTTCTAACTGTCATTGGATATAATTGTTATTTAGGTGGTGAAAAGAACAGGGCTTGTTGCTGATGATGGTTCTTTTTCTGATTCACGCCCTGCAGTTGGGAGTAAAAGATCTGTCAGGGATAGGTTGGGAGGCAATGTTGATCCAACCTCACTTTTCGACAGTAAACGGTGTGTGCCTTTGCTTCATACTATTGTTCACAATGGTTTTCTTTCTGTTTTGATGTTCATTGAGGGATATTTTTCCATATATCTGAAGCTATAGTCTTGATGGATATCAATGGCGAATTAGTGGTTGAGTTCATTGTATGATATGCTTGGAACATGTCTGCTTTATAACTACTTTATCTATTCTGGACTATTAACTAAAATCTCTAGGGAAAGTTCTGATTTTGAATTTTATGTTCTGCAAACGTAGTATGTGAAGAGGAAAGTCTGGAGTAATGGAATTGAATTGTAATTTTTGAGGTCTAAATTTACAAATTAAATGTGTTAATTTTTGCAGTCAGCGAGGAGATGGTAGTTGGATGAGTACAAGCGCCTCTAATTATGTTGATGGTAATGAATTTCTGTCATATAGAACTCCTATTTGTTTTTTGGCCCGTCAGATGTGAATTCTTAACTGATATAAAAATTCTACTCGTTTCTGGAAATGAAGATATGAGCCTAGGTAAGGATGATCTGCGGTACAAAATCATGCTCAAAAGGAGTCAAAGCAGTAACCACCGGAGTGATTTGGATCTTCGCGACTTATTATCTAGGCCTGCTCAGTCCTCAACAACAAGCTCGGGCACACAGAGGCGCACGGCCCAGCCGGAGGATGTAAGAAAGCATTATCTGGAACCAAGGGATAGTAGACAACCAATGAAAGATTCAAGGAATTCTGGCCAGTTGGTGTCAGAATCCAAGAATGTTAGACAGCAACTTTTTGAACCCAGGGGCTACAGAGAACGGTTACCTGATCCGAGGGATAGTAGACATGTCATGCCAGATCTTAAAGATGCTCGAAATTATCGGTCGGGTGTGATTAGTGTAAGCATGCCAGGGCAAACATTATCCTCAAGAAGCAGTGGCAGTTTACCCCAAATGGAGTCATTAAGAAGTTCTCATACTCCATGGACACTAGAGAATTTGAGGCAAAGGCCGGTAGATAGGGTTGTGGGTTCTTCTAGGGGTGTCTCTCCACCAAGGCGGAAGGAAGAGAAAGAGCTAAGGCCTCTTGTCAGAGCCTATGATGAATCCAGAGAAGCGTCATACGCAAGCAGAGGAGCTTTTGAACAGTCACGTCATGTGGGTTCTTCATCACACTTGGTGAAATCAGCTCCAACTGCTGGCCCTGCCAAGACGATGGCATTGCCTCATCCACCTCATCCACCAGTTTCTCTTGTGCAGAAAAATTCTTATCGAGTATGGTCAACTTTTCCTCTCTCTCCTTATTCTCTTAGGCCGCCATGATAGTTTATGGGAACACACAGTTTAAAAACAACCAAAACAAGAATGCTGGGTTGCCTAAATCTTCCAAAAAAACAACCTCAACCCCAACCCCATCCCCCCCTCCCTTTGCAAAAGTCTCTAATTTTGAAAAATATATGGAGGAATTCGTGAACTTCCACTGCAACCTCGTTCAAGAGAGGAAACTAAGAAATTCGTATTAAAAACTTAAAAATGATCTAGTGATTTTGCTTTTATTTGCTCAAATAATCTTGTTGTTGTTTTGGGTGTTTGCAGACTGAAGATCCGCTTACTGTTGATAGTTTTTTGCAGTCACTTGGATTGGATAAATACTCCATTCTTTTCAAGGCTGAAGAGGTAGGTATTCGTGAAGCAGTCCTTTTTGTTGTTGTCTTTGAACAACATTTTGTTCACAAACTCTTTCATTTGGGCTCTTACTTTTGTGGTCTTTTGAAGGGGGGAAACTCCTTTGTGTTTTGAGTTTTGCACCTGGCTGAAGGAAATAGGCTAGTGACTTGATTTTTCAAATGCTATCCATGTTTATAGGCTCTTTTGTGGGCATCATTCTGATAGTTTTTGCTTTCCTGTACTTTTGATATGTGTTCCTAAGTTCTTTTTGCTTCATTCTTTTTGCTGTATTCGACTGAAAAGAGTAGTTATTATCGCCTTTGTCCCTACCTTTAGGAAATATTGAAGGTTATTTGGAACTAGTTATAATGAATAAAGATTCTAGATAAGGTATAACGTGAATAGTGGGTACAGTTGAGAATCCCAAAATTCCAAGGTTAGCTACTGTTGTCGTTTGGTGTCCAGTGAAAGGCTTGCTTGTTGGCATCTTTCATTACAAAATTTTACTGGTTTTGTATCTGTCCGTGCTTTCCTTTAAGACCTGCTAGTATACATTCTCTTTTCCTTTCAAAACACAATAGAAAGGAAAATGAATCATAGCAAGGCAGAATTCCAGAAATAAAACACCAAAAGAAGAGTAGCCATTTAGAACAATCATGGCTTCTTCTGTTTATGGTGAAGTTTGTTGATCAAAAAGTTGTATGTATTTCAGGTGGATATGCACGCATTGAAGCAGATGGGTGATGCTGACCTCAAAGAGTTGGGAGTACCTATGGTAATATTTAACCTGGTGCTTGTTTCCTTGTTTCTTTTGGTGGCTATGTGTTAGTTAATCTGGAATCTCTATGGTAAAAGTATGTTTTGCTCCCAAAAGTTTTGGTGATAATAGATTCTTCGGTTGAGGCCGTTCAAGGAACATTCCGTACTTCCAAACCGTTTAACTTGTTTCTCCACTCCTTTTCAGAGTAGTTTGGGCACTTGGATCTGTACTGTTTTGAGCTTTTTCCTCCATTTTTATCTGTCTTCTCTTATGATGTCTGATTCACTGTGTAAGCAAGTGATCTAATTTTGTGGTGGATGCATTACAGGGACCTCGGAAAAAAATTCTGCTCACCTTGCTTGCACGATCAAAGAGACAAATATAAGCACTGTAACTCTGTAAGGGTTCGGGTTGAGAGTCTGAGTAGAGATGTCAGCTATTTTGGAGTGTGCACACTCCCTTTCAATTTTTGCCTAATAGAAGCAGACTCAATGTTCAGACAGAGCCTTTTGGCTCTCAGATTTGTGGTAGTCAATGTTTTGATACGATATGCTGATACACTGTAGAAAGTGTTGAATTGGGATGAGATTCGTTCTGATGGTTAAATGTGAAAGGAAGATGTCTTTTGTGATTATTTTTGCTTTCTTGAGATCTGCAAATTGCCAATTGCAAACGCAGAATGTTCCTTTTAGGTTTTCGAGTCTCCGTGAAATTCATTAAATAATGAAAATCCCTTTTCTTTCTTTGTAAAATTTTCCAAGTAAAAGAAATGTCAAAAGTAGGTACAATAAGTAATCCTGCTTCAACCATTAACTAGAAGTTAATTTAAAAAACTAAGTCCCATAATCATTGTCCAGTTTTACTAAAAATGAAAGATTTTATTTTTAGTCAAACTTAACTATATTTTACCTTGAACAACTGGAAATACCTCTACATAAGTAATTGTTTAACCACAAAGATTTTAATAGATAATTTTTTTACTAAGAACAAATGTGTAACTTGATCCATAAAAAGTCAAATTGGACAATAATTTTGGAACAAAATTTTTTGGGCAAAGTGGACAATAATTATGGGACGGAGGGAGTACAAAAGTTTTAACTTATTTAATTATTATGCAATTTTATATAACATCTTGTCTTAGGAAGTAGTCACAGTTGTAAAAGTCAATAAAATTTTTCTTCTCTTTATCTTCTTTGTTTTTAATATATATATATGGTTTACTGGTTCAGCCTAGCAGGTCTTCAGGTTCTTTCACTAGAAACTTTGAAAAGCGCTCAATCATTTCTTTCTTTCTTTCTCTATTTTGATTCTTCTAAGTTAAAACTACTAGTTAGGTAATTAATTCTACTTAATTCAAGGGGAGAAGTAGAAATGTATCCGATCGGTTACTTGAAGACAGAGTTTGGATTAAAAATCTTTAATGGTTTCTTCATAAACTAACCAACTTTATGTGTACTATTTCCTCTCGTTTTATAATACCGCATTTTGATTTTTTTAGAGTTTATTTATTGTGTTGTTCTCATTAAAAATAAAATTTTAAAAATATATTTTTACATTTATTGTGTTTTTTCTAATTATTATAAAATTATTTTTAAAATTTCATTTTCAATTCAAAAAATACAATAAATAAACAAATCAAAATCTCTTTTTAATAAGGACAAGAGAGATGATTACTTTAACAATTTTCACTTCTAAAACTAAACCGAAAATACCGGATGCCTTGCTTTTGATCAATTAATATACATTCTGCTGAAAATTCAGAACTAACTTCATCTAATTAACCCACAGTTATGTAGATTTTTCACTTTAGCCGCTTATCTGCCAAACCGTAATCTTGTTCGCATATGAGCTACTGCCTTCTTCACCCAACAAGATTGAAGATTTGATCCCTCTTCATTAAATTCTATAAACTTTTTCTAGCTTTTGACGCAAATGAGATTCTCTCTATCTTCTGTGTAAAAATTGTGCGTCATTAGTGATGCGATTTAATGTTTGTTTCGTTTTTTTAGTGTGTTTTTAGGTATTTTTTATATTGGAATGTAAAAAAGTATATTGGCAATGTAAAAAAGTATATTGAAATTGGACATTTATTAATAAATTAATCTAAAAAAACCATGAAAAAAATGAAACAAACATATATATTTCCGCAATGAAATTATCATCTTTCTTAGTACCTCAAATAGAGAACTTTGTTAAACGAAAGGAATTGTAGTTGCAGAAATAAAAAGACATTTCAATGAACTAGTCACATTTAATTTCATTATTTATGCTTACATGATCAAAAACAGCCAAAGGTGGCTATGAAGATATGACTAATATGTGTTTATAAATGACTTTCATCTTTGTTTAGTATTAATTAAATGCCGTGATTAAGTTAAACTAATTAAATAGTAGTACCTCTGTAGAAGATGTATGATAGATACATCTGTATTTACACTCACGGGTGATGAATGATGATGAATCAAAATTAAATCCCATGTCTGGAGGTGTCATTTTCGATTATGTCTCCTTCAGTGAAGACTGTAATTAGACAGGAATTTTTCAGTTTGCTTGCTAAGGTGTACGCTCACGATTCTTTTCCCTTTCATGATATGACTTCAATTACTATAGAGTTTATTATATGATTAGTCAAAAGCCTATTTCAATAATTCAAATAAACGTGCCCTTTTCGATCCTACTCATTTTCATGATTTTTTTATTATTATTTTTCCCGTGGTAAACCACAAAATTTTTTGTCTAATCACGTATGCTAACGCTGTCGTATATAGAGATCTGCAAAGATTTGCGCATTGTTAATGTTCAATGAATTTAACTTTGTTCCTTTTCCACTAGAATCCTGTTGAGAGATATTTTTTAACCATGTATATACCACATTTAAAACTAATATTCATATTCAATCGAGTAGAATATTTTGAGGGACAACGGATAAAACCTTAATTGAGTGCATTAATACCCGATGATTAACTAACTGTGAATGCATTTAGTCGCATTTTATGATATGGGAATCGAACCAAATTTTGTCAGTACAAAATGTAATAAGGTAATCGTTTTTTTAAAGCGGTAAATAGTAGCTTTGATGTTAATGTAAAAGGGTTAGGTTCAAAAAAAAAAAAAAAAAATCGTCATGATGGCAAATTCTTGGCGCATCTTAATCAAACAATGCATGTGTTCTCCATTAATTAATTAAAATATCAAGTGAAGAACATGTTAGATCTTTAAATTAATAGGCTGAAGTGTTTTACGGCAATATACAACGTTAGATTTACTAAGAACTTTTATGTCATCTTCGAAAACCCATGTGATTTATATTGCAGGCAGCAAGAAATATCCAATTCAGCCAAAAAAAAAGTTGCAATAAAAACATAGATAGTAAATTCAAAATTGTTTGAAATCTAAGAGTGGGGTTTTTTTAATTCTTTTTCTCCTTGTCTTACCTGCGACAAATTCTGCGCTTGTCGCGCTGTTTATAATGAATATAAAAGGAAAAATAAAAAACAATTATGAGAGGAATAGATCTTCCTTTTCGCACCTTATCATTTTTGTAGATCAATTTTGGAGAGATTCTCAAGCGGCTCCGGTGAGTCAATTCTGTCATTCTTTGGGAGATTTTGTGGGCGGAAGATCAGAAGTTGGTACTACTTGAGATTTGGTTGTGTAGAATTTATGTCTTAACTAGTTGATAATTGTTTAAAGAAGCTGAAATAATATTTGGGATAAACTGAGATCAAGTCCAAATTCATGGATCATAACTATACCAAGTCACCAACTATCTCCAAAACCACAAGTATATTAGTCCTGCATATGCCATTTGAGATTTGAGATCTCTTCATGTTTCTTTTTCCTTGTGAAATGTACTTCACATTGGATATAATGTCCAAGGTGATGCATTCAAATGCTTATATGTCCTATTCTAGCCCTTTAGGATATGAAAAAAAAAAAAAAATTCCCGTTGGAAGGAGAGTTGTTAAGGAACAGAAGTACTCCTTCCGGTCTTTAATATAAAGTATTTTGATTTTGTCTTAGGTTTGATCTCGTATACATTTTTAATTGATGAAAAAATTTTAAAAATATATTTTCGCATTCGTTGTATTCTCTTGATTGTTATGAAATATTTTTAAGATTTTTTTGGTCAGTTAAAAATACGTACTATGTTAAATCTAGAACAATCAAAATGCTTTATATCAAGGATCGGAGAGAGTAGTTTTTTTTATTCATTCCAATAACCTACTTAACAAACGAAATTTAGCTCATACTAGGAAGCTTTGGTCAACAAGCTTTATAAAATTATCTTAAACTAAACAACGCGCCATCTTCCATAGCCAGTTAGAAATATGCTTAGTTTGTTAGAAATAAATAAACATCTGAGGATTCGTTTTTCTCAACTGTACGTTACCTAAACTATCAGTATTAGGGTTAGTGCATGGATGTGGAATGAATTTAATTGTATAATATTGCAAATAGATGGAAAGAAGCAATGGTGAACTTTTAATTTAATTTGGTTTGTTCTTTACAATATGCCATGATTGTTAGATTAGAGAAATGAATTAAAGAAACAAGAGATAAATCAAACAAAACCAAGTACACCAACCCACCCAAACCAGCCACCATTACAAGAAAAAAAAAAGGAAGAAAAAGAAATCAAATCACCTTCAATTCACTCAAAGATTGGGTTCTAATTTGTTCCACATGCTATAAGATAATGAAAGACTCCTGTATATTGATTTGATGACAGCATACCTATTTGGAATTCTTTCCCTAAAGCAAGAAAGCAAGTAGAATGGACTAGAAAATAAATCAACTATTTTTTTATTATTTTTTATTTTTAAGAAAAGAAAGAGCAAAAAGGAGTGGGAATTGATGAGAATGAGATCATTTATTGGTGGGAAGAAGTAGTCCCACTAAATAAATATATGAGAAGATCTACTATTGAGAGACATTGGAATATAACAACATAATAATCTCATTAGTTTTTTCCCTAACATCTTCCCAAAGCTACCATTGTGGGACCTAAATTGCAACAACTGTCCAACACCGATTCTTTGCTTATGAATTGGATAATACCACTAGATGTCTACTTGATTTTATCTTAAATTATATATACATTTTAAAGGTTTCAAATTAAAGACCAACAAGACTTACTATTGGTCCAAGGGTTATGGTATTAGATGAGTTTAACTAGTATTAATATTAATTAGAATTATAGGATTGGATATGCAGCAATGGTTAAATTTTTTGTTTAGATGTATTCTTCTTCTTCTTCTCCTCTTTTTTTTTTTTACAAAGAGAAATTTAGCTTTGAAAGAACTTTTCGGTCAAATCAAATTTAGATTAATCTGGACAATGAATTTTGGCACATTACGGATATACATATGTCTGTGCGTGGGTGTGTGTGTCTATATATATATATATATTATTATGAAAAGGTATTAAAATAAAAGTTTTTTTTTGCTGCTCTAAGAAGATATGCCCAGATCTCATTGAAGACCCTAATTAGTATATATGCTTACATCATTAGCCCACTTCTTATATTCCTTCGTTTAGCAACTACTCTGTCTTTTTAGCAACATTTTTTTTAATTGCATTACCCCCTAAATTGGTCAAGATTAACTTAATCATTTCAGTTTGCTTTCTTTTCAATATGACTGAAAAATTAATGGGGTGGTTTGGATAATTACGAAGAACCTTCTTTTTTTTTTTTTTAAGTGCTGATTAATCAGATGTATGAACATAATATTTTTAAGCAGCATTGTGGTTAGATGGGACTTGACACCCACAGATTTTTTAATGTGATCAAACTTTAGTGTTTAAATATTAATAAAAGAGGCTTTAGAAGAGAAGAATACATGAACCCACTAATTACGTGGTCAATCAAAGTAATGTCTTTTAAGGATTTTAAGTCCATTTGATAGATTTGCTAGCTAGCCAGCCTTCCTTCCAGGTGATTCTACTCTCCACCTTTGTTTGACTTTTGTTGTTACCGTTCATATAATAATACCATTTCCCCCTTCTTTAAGCATGGGATTCTAATTGTTTATTTATCATCAAGTTGAATTAGATACTCAATTCTGTCCCATAATAATTATAGGTGCAGCATATCCTCGTAATGTATCAATCTCACTATAAGGGATGAATTTCTCTTTACTGCAACAAAAATAATAATAATTATATTTAATAATATAAACATTACAATTAATTCAAAACAAAAAGAGTAATTCGTTACATAATTTTCAAAATAATTATCTTGTTTGTACAGAACAATTTAGTTAGTGTAAAGGGAGTAATTCGTTGTATGGTTGTTTGGATTATCTTTTTGCCCCTTCTTTTTTTAAAGCGTATTTATACATGGACGTCCTTGGTTTTTTCCTACCACAAATATCCACACTCAATCCCCATTGATGGGAAAAGTTTAATCGATTAATTTAATCAATTTGGAGTTTAAAAAATTTTAGTTTAATAACATTAATTAAGTGCATGAAAGACAGGTTCCTCAATCTGACTATTCTTCTCTATCATATTATTTTAATAACCTCAACAGTGTGTCTTGTGCTATTGCTCATGATTATAAAACCCACAAACTTGCGTTAGAGATGCATTTCATAGTCAAGAACCCAATTAGTGGATTTGCTATTTAAGGAAGAGAGGCAAATCACCAAAACCATATAGAAAAAACTGTCTCAAAAGAACAAAAAAAACATTCATTTCCCTCCAACATGAAAAGAAGTCCCTCCAACACTAAATCTCTTTCTCCTTCATGGGAGAATGAAGAAGAAACTACAAATGCACAATTTTCTTCAAAACCCTCTTTGGAGAAGAAGCTCAAACTATTTGGTTTCGAGCTAAACACTAGCGAAAATGGCGAGCAAATGATTGACCTCAAAAGGTCTACAGAAAATGATGAAAGCGTGAATTCATCATCCTCCACAATTTCATCAGGAAAAGATCAACAAATCCATCCCTTGGAGGAAAGAGGACCAACTCCCGAAGTCATGAGTAGCGATGATCAAGACAAGAACAAGTTCGAGTGCCAATATTGTTTCAAACGATTCGCGAATTCGCAAGCATTAGGAGGCCATCAGAACGCTCACAAGAAAGAGAGGATGAGGAAGAAGAGGTTGCAACTTCAAGCAAGAAAAGCCAGCTTAAGCTATTATCTTCAACCTTTCCAAAACGCGAACGATGTCAGCTACTATGGCGGCGGTTCATTATCTCAGTTCTTTTACGAACCTTCAATATTTTCTTCACCCGAATTCACAATCTCCGATGAATCTCAGATTAGTTTCGGCACCCCAAACGATGATCGTCGAGAAGGTTCCGGCCATTTTTCAAGGTCTTGGTATGCCCTACCAGCAACATCCAATCATGCACCTTTATTTCAACAAGAGTTAATAACATCACCATCATCCTGTAAATTTACTCTTACCCACGCGGAAAAATCAAGGGAGATGAACAAACCCGTGATTAAGCCAGCTTCTGATTATAGATCCGTTGATCTTCAGCTAGGTTTAAGCTTGCATTGATTCCTAAATCAATTTAGTTATTAGAATATATACAATTAAAAATATAGTATAATTCTGTCTATCCTCCTAATTAATTCACAGCTTGAGGAACTGTACTCTATACATGTTTAATTAATTATATCATAAAAATAGATTTATTAATTTGAATTTAATTGTGTGATTTTATTTTTATTTTTTTACGTGGTGGAATTAAACGAATTCTTAATTGCCTTTCGTTATTTCGGTGGAATTTGTTCTCGCACACAGATCTTTTGTTTTTTTTATCAATTTTTAAAAGGAAGTACGCGTAGCAATAAAATATGTGCATATATTATATAGTTGGAGGGTTCATAATCATGTGTATGCGTCGAAATTAGTCGGACACAATATGGATTAAGTGTCAAGATGATTGTACGAAAGGGAAATTATGAATGGTAAATTCTTTCAGTTGGCTTCAATCCAAAGTTAGAAAAGCCGGTGAACGAATGTACTTAACACATTATTAAATTATTAAACGTACTCATGAAGTTCTCCTTAACCTAAGTAATCACAAAAGAATAATGACAACAATACATCGTTGCTTCTTCTCATCAGTATTTGAGACAAATCAAGGACTCAATGTTTATTTTATTCACGTGATTTTGGCATATCTCATGAAGAGGTTGTTGCATTTTCCGCGTTCATCTGCAATTTCCATACATATTAAAAGAAAAATGTTTTATCCGTCCCAAAACAATGTATGATTATAAAAAATTACACAATTCCTTCAACCTTTTTTTTTTAAAAAAAAAAACAATCACTTTAGGTTGGAGGATATATAGATGATTTTCTCTATATTTATTTTGATGTATATATAATACGCAGGCACTCCTCATTACTAGCTAATTAATTAGTAAATGGACTTATTAAATGTAAAAATTAGAGAATATAACATTTTTTTTTCAAAAATTTCAAAGTTTTACCTATATTACACTCACGTTGAAAACATTATTTTGACTAATTAATCTGGATTCAAGTTAGATAAATCCCTTAGATAAATCCCTTCATACAACCATATGATGAAAAAGAGAAATAATATGATCATGAAAAAGAGGGTATCTAATCATACATGCATACAAGTACATAAGTTCCACCTTTTCTCGGAATTGCCTCCAGTAAAACAAATTAAAGAAAAAAAACACAATTAGATAAAAATAAACAAAAACTCAGGGAATCCTTGACGCGGAAGTCGAATAAAGATTAGTGGTTAGAAAAGCTTAAAAAACTAAGATTAATCTAATATTGAAAGTGTTTACCTTATATTATAAATAATTAGCATGCACTACAGTACATATTGTATTTCTGTATAACCGTGTCAGCATATTATATTAGTAATTTGAAAACACCATTCGCCAATATTCAGCTTTCGACATCTATGATCGATCGATATCCAAAACATGATTGAGATGTTTTAGTTTTCTCTCTAGCTTTCAATTAAAATACTCTTTCTGTTTCAAAATTATTGTCCAGTTTGAGATTTCACTTTTAATATCATTTGAACTAGAAATAAAAATCCAAACTGGACAATAATTATGGGATGGAGTAAGTACTGGCGTTGAATTTTCAGCTACGTACGAACACAAGAACTAATTTGAGAATCGGTACAATGTATGACCTTAAAAAGAGAAGTAATAACATATAGCTTAAGTAAGCTAGATCCATTGGTAGAAGTAGTAATTATCTACATGTACACTTCAACTTTTATTGCATCCATTAAATTAACTTCAGGAGTACTTTTCTTCGTGCAATAAATCAAATCAATAATGATCATCAGGTATATAAAAGGTTTCATCAAAGCTCCTATGTAAGTTGTTAATTTCCTTTTCTTCCCCTGCGCATTTCTCTTATTTAATTATGTAAACGGGTGAATAATGTATCATTAAATAATGTTCATAATGCAATTGAAATATTAGCTACCTGAACTGTAAAAATAACTGGAGTTAAGGAAACACTCCTTCTATTCAAAGAAAAATAGAATTCACAATCTAAATTGTGAATTACAATTTACAAATTACAATGTAGAATTTTTTTTAAAAAAGATGAATTACAAATCTGAAATGCTCAATACATATATATATGGAAATTCTATGGTACAGTCATAAGTTGTTAATTGAACCATCCAGTTACAATCCATCCAATGAAAGTGAAATACACCACATGTGATAATGGAGTGTGCAACACCATATTGAAACCATCTAAGTTGTCGAGTTACTGATTTTTTTAAAAAAAAATTAGTAAGATAAAGTAAAATTAACCTTAATACAGACTAGTGTGTTTGACTAATTAGTACTCATCTAATTAATTTTTATAACAGTAATTTCTTTTTCATTTACTTTTTTTTTGGAACTGAAGTAAGATTAAAATTATGCAAGGTTCCCGACTCTTTAGGAAGCAACTTCTTACGCATTTTTCATTTACTTGAAATTTTTTGATACCAAACTTTTGAGATGTCGAATATAATCCATCTGTGTCCGTACCGTAGCCTTCAAATTTTTTTTAATACTGTAGTCTTCATTTGTCTGTGTTTTCATTACCATCCATTTTCATTTTTCAGAAGCTTTTCATCCTCCTTTTTCTTATTTATTTATTTTTAGTAACAATCAATATTGATCCAAGCAGCTGAACCATTAGAAAGAATTTGATCATACATACTGCATCATCACCTCAATACAAATGATAGAAATAGCAGCATCATTATCCCTCCACGTTGAATAGCTAAAAATCCATAATTCTCACAAACCAAAATACAGTTGTTCAGAAACTCAACTCCAATTGATGAACTTCAAATATTCTAAAATAGCTAGTTCATATTTCTTTTCAAATTGATGGTGCATTAGCTTGAAGCTTGGATTATTGAGAATCAAGGGGAAGACTACAAATCAAAGATAATGATTATTTCTATTAGGGAGGTCAAATTTAAACACGAGTGGACGGTGTTTAGATTTTTCGACGGAAAGTTCTAATCGACTTACTATTCACGTTGATATAGCGTCTTGGTTTATTTTAACAACAAAAGTAAGATATGCATCAAGGACATAATCTGTGTACTTAATTGATAAAATGTAAAATACCCAAGGCAATCAAGGTTCCGAACAACCTATATGCCCCATTTTAATGAAAACTATATACTTTTCCACGTCTTGAACTTTATATATGCTTCTGTGTGGATAATTAATGGTTTGCTTTGCTGATCAGAAGCGCCTTTCAAGCAATGGAAAGAAATCAACAGTGATCAACGATAGAAAGTGTTTTCTTCTGAAAAATTTTATTTATGGGCTTTGAACTGGGCCACGTGGCTGATTACCGACGCATTTCTAAGCGGCTATAGTAATAAGCTGGGCTAAAACTTTCCACAAACTTTAGTGCTCAGCTTGTTGATAATGCCATAAAAGAATTCGGCCCATTAATTTGGAACCATCCGAGTATAAACTTACCTCCACAACTGCATGCAGTGGGCACTACAAAACGAAAAACGTGATGTGGCTTTCAAATGTCAATGGTCTGTACAAAATAGCGATGACAAGAGCATTTAAAAGCGGCCCGATCGCGTCAATAATGTTCGCAAAGGGGAAAGAAAAGAAGGTGATCTTAATTTTTTTTTTTTTTAATATGAATAAGACACTTTCAACCTGGCAAATCCAAGGGGTTAGTTAAAAGCAAAAGTTTACTTTATTTGCTGGAAGTTTTTGCAACAACTGCGTTATGGACTTGTCACTCCTTTTTTGAGCTTTTTAGAATTCTTTTAGCTCATGATCTTATGATTCTCCTGAATTTTATATAATTATTATCTACTTTATCCTTCTAAGATAGTGGAGAAAGTACACAATTAATTTTGTGGACTAGGGGAAAGGACATTCGGGATTTTGACATCTTCAATTAGACAGTTAACTGCTCCATTGTTTGGAGATTTTTATATGGTGCATTTTGAATATCAAAGGAAGACGCTTTTAATTGACTGGTAGTTAGCACATAAACCATCATATATATGGTGTTGAATTGCCAATTTAATCGCCCTGACAATGCCCATTTAATTAGTAGGAACTTGTTGCTATCAAAGCTATACATAGGAGCTGGTTGCAACATGATACCATTGAAGTTGTTTATCTTCGCTCAGTGTTAGTATAATGTATTAGATAATATTTTTTTATTTGTACTAATTAAAAAATAGATTATACTTTTTGATGTCACCGAAAAAAAGAGTTTATCGTTAGAAAATCAATTGTATATGTGTATAACTACTTATGAAACCAGCTTTTAACCTGTATTTCTTAAAAAATTGGAAGACTTTCAATTTTCAAACTTAGAAAATGTTTCTTTAACTCTACTCACACTACTCAACGTCATTGATGAAACCATTCCGCTGTCAACCCTAGGCGTGTCTCCTCTTCTCTATACTATACCCTTTCAGACCAAAGGAGAAATTATCCTGCAAGTTCTTGTTAGGGAAAAAAAAAAAGGAAAAAGAAAATGAAAAAAGAAATTATAGGGCTTCTGTAATGAAAGTAATGTCAATATCAATGTCAACTGGACACTGGAATTTTTGTGCCCATTCGAATAACCACAAAAGGCCATATATGGTTGTCCCCGAACCCAAGATTTTCCATCAGAATGCGCAAATAAGATTGCATTAGTAAAAAGTTTTTAAGGTTAACTAAACTTGAATCTAAAATTTTAAGGTAGAATGTCAGAAAACTCACAACTTACGTCACAACTGGACCATATGGCGAAAAAGTTTGATTAATCTTTCTGCGTGCAAATTGCAATGAAAGCTTCTTGGATGAGTTCAAAACAAACGGAACAAATGATTGACGTCATACTGTATCATCATGTATTTTTGGGTAAACTTTCACATTCCGGTTAAAAAGACTTATCCCAACCCACACTGATTTGAGAGAAAGATTTACCCACTAATCTAATCATGGTAAAAGAATCTGTGTCCTTTCCCTATTTACCGCACCCGCCTATTATGGTCATTACCAAATCGGGCTCCATTATCACATGATAAGCCAATTATAAGTGCCGTATTATGCAGGCAGCCCGACCCGACCTATGCGGCCAATAATGGATCTCCAAGCCTAGTAGCCTACTACTAGCCTCTTCACACGTGCCATAATTTATTTATTTATTTACACTCCAAGTCACATTCTCCCCTTTGGCGTACATTAGTTTATATTTCGGGCCCCACTGTCATTTTTTGAATTTGTAGGTAACATCTACTTTGCAGCTATTTTCACTTAACCCCTTCATAATGTTATGGAATTTTATACTTCAACCTCAACTATTTTGTATGGTAAAACTACTACCATAAAGCTGCTTATCATTTTTGTTCGCCTTTCAATCATCACATGTACTATAGATAGATGTTTTCACCTCATGCAATTTTAAAGCTGATTGCTTTTTCTTTATTTCTTTACACATTGTTGTTATCATTAAGAAACATGATTGATGCTAAATAAAAATCGTAGATGAAATTGTGCAAGCAAGAATATGAAAGGTTGAAAGTTACTTGTATATAAGACGAAAAGCAAATGTAGAAGGAAAAAGAAAGACATAATTGGTAACATACGTAATTGGATATCTTATATTCTTCAATTCCTACATGGAAAAAAAATTGAGTTTATGAAAAAAACATAAAATACTAAAACAATACACACGAAAAATTTTTCTTTGCAGAGAAAATAATTTTTCCTAAAAATTTCTAATGTTCACTGTCCATTTTCATTTTTTAAAAGTTTACAATTGTGCAAATTGTGCAATTTTATTGTGTCAACATTGTAAGATGAAATTGAATGATAACTTTTGGGTTTAAAAACCTATAAATACGAAGATAGAGTTGTAAGATGAAAATATAAAACGATTTATATAACAGGTCCACTAAATTTCCCCTCCTTTTTTTTTTAATTTTTATTTTATTTTAACCTTTTATTTTTAGTTTAGTTTTCCATTCTTTCTAAAACAGAAACAGAGAAGTAGTATCCTCTCTCTTTCATCCCTGTCATTGAAAACTCCAGCTGGGAAGCCATTTTTAGGGTTTTCCAGATTTCCCCTTTATTTGTTTCCTTCTCAGGCTTAATATTCTTGGAAATATTTAGATGATTTTTCGGTGAATTCCTCCCTCCAGAGTCCAGAATGGGCATTAGTGTATAATTACCTAGGAAATCTCATATATTTCTATAAATACTTTCCTGCATCCTTTGGGTTCTGTTTTGCCATTGTTTGCATTTCTGGAGCTGCTTGGAGGTGTAATATGCCGGCGCACAAATGGAAGTCGGAGAAATCCGAGTCGACCAAGCAGCTGAGGAGAGACCCCTACGAGGTTCTAGGGGTCACGAGGAACTCCACAGATCAAGAAATCAAGAGTGCTTACAGAAAATTGGCTTTGAAGTATGTTCCTTTTCTTGTTTTAGTATCATTTGTTATAATACGAATCTTGAGGTTTTGAGTAATTTTGTGGGTGTAGAGGCTGCCCCTTCCCCTCGGTTTGGAAACTCCGGTGAGTTGAGGACTCGAGGCTGACAATGTGTGAAACGTGATCTTTGGCCATTAGGCCGATTTAGGGTTGCCACATTGTATGTAATGCAGAAGGTTGTTTGGAATGGGAAGGGATAGTGAAAGTTATTTGAATTTTTTTGAATGGGATGGTTGTGAAATTTTCAGTTTAGTGATAAGAAACAACACTTTTAGAGATGTAGAGTTATGAAAGCTCTGAAGCTCATTAGTTAACATACCATAGACATAGTTAATGGGGGAACTGTAAAACGTGGTGAATTCCAGTCTTGTTTCAGATTTCTGAATTAAGAAAATGTTTTTTTTTTTTTTTTTTCAATGTGATGATTATCAGTGATTCCTTTACTCATTAGAATGGTAGAGCATAGTCGAAACAGAATGAAATATACTAAATTATCTAACCATTTCAGGTTTGCTGAAACCTGTATAGCCAGTGACACCATCCTTTGTTTCAATGAAGGGAAGTGTATTGCTTTGAAATTTTAGGAGTAGTAGATCACCAAAAAAGAAAAGATAAAATTTTTGCTGTCTCAGTTTGTGCCTATTGCTTTTCACTGTGAAACTGCAAATGTTTTGAGAATATTATTATTTGCAGTTTAGTAATGCTCTGGTCAATTAATTTTTAGATATCATCCAGACAAGAATGCTAATGACCCTGAAGCAGCTGACCTGTTTAAAGAGGCTACTTTCTCATATAACATTTTGTCTGACCCTGATAAACGTCGTCAATATGACTCAGCTGGTTTTGAGGTGGGATATCTTTCACACTATACTTGTCTTAAAGTTGAAGTACAGATGATTGATGTCGTGGAAAACTAGGATTACCAGTGTTATCCAATTGATATTTGAACAGGCCGTTGAATCTGAGAGCCAGGAGCTTGAGTTGGACCTTTCCAGTTTAGGAGCTGTAAATACAATGTTTGCTGCAATTTTCAGGTAGATTTCCGTATTACTGTTTTGATTTTTTGCTTTCTGTTAATCCATATTTTAGTACATGTCTCAAATCAATAATTTTATTATTGATATTTAAACAGTAAACTCGGAGTGCCAATCAAGACTACAGTTTCAGCCGCTGTCTTGGAAGAAGCATTGCATGGTGTGGTATCTATTCGTCCACTTCCCCTGGGTCAATCGTTGTCTAGAAAGGTTTGATTCATAACCTTTGCAGAAATGCTTGCCCTTGTTTAGTGTGTTCTACTGAGGCCTTTTTCCTACCTTTCTACAGGTTGAAAAACAAAGTGCTCACTTCTATTCTGTCACGTTAACAGAAAAGGATGCGCAGGCTGGGTTTGTTTGCAGAGTATATTCAACAGATAAAAGCAAGTTCAAGGTTTGTTTTTGTGTTAGCGATCACATACTGATGCCTTCCTTTACTGCAATATGCCCTTCTTGGGATGTAGTGATGTACAAGTTTTAAAATTTAGTCTCTGTAAAAACATTAATTTAGCTCTTTCATATTGATTTAGAAATTAACAATTGAAATTTTTTCAATTTCTTGTTAGTACAGTGATTTCCACAATGTCATTGTGTAAAAGACCAGGAATTTTTCATGTGCCATCTTATCCACACTCTCTTTCTGTTAGAAAAAGAAATAAGCATTCTTTCTCTGTCTCTCTATCTCCCTCATGTTGGATCTCTTGGATGTAGTTTCTTTAGTTTCTGAGTGGGTCTGTTCTTTTCCATTTGCCTCCTTGCAGCTCTTGTACTTTGATAGAGAAGAAAATGGGGGATTAAGCCTGGCTTTGCAGGTAGGCATTAATTTTTTCTTCCCTTTTCTTTCTATACTTTTGACTGCTTCCGTGTGGAAAGGCGTTATTGAGAACTCTCAACCTTTTCTTTGTATTGCCTATTATTTGTTCTGAAATTTAAGAGAAGGCATGTAAGACTTTGCAAGTGAATTTGATATATTTTGGATTGTCTTTACAGTTTAGCTCAGTTATTATGATTTTTATTGTTTCTTTCCAGATGATATACGTTACTATTCAGGTTATTCTTTATTTTACCTTTAAATTGGGCTTCCTTTAATATATATTTTTTCAATTATGAATGCCTGTAGGAGGATAGTGTAAAAACTGGAAAGGTTACATCTGCAGGGATGTTTTTTCTAGGCTTCCCGGTTTACCGCCTCGACCACTCTAGTAACTCGGTGAGCTAAGTTATACAGACTCAGTCAAATCTACAAGTTGTGTGGTATGTGTTTCTAATATTTGAGTTTCATTAGGTGGCAGCTGTGAAAGATCCAGATACTGCATTTTTCAAGAAGCTTGACGGATTTCAACCTTGTGAAATAAATGAACTAAAAGCGGGAACACATGTATTTGCTGTTTATGGTAGCTTCTTTCACCTGAATGTTATCCATCTAGATTTATGTGCACTGTTTGCAAGTATGATCTAAATGTTTTTTTATTTGTGGAATGCTTTGCTGTCTAGGTGATAACTTTTTTAAAAGTGTAAGCTACAACATTGAAGTTCTTTGTGCTGCACCTTTCACTGAGGAGAAAGAAAATCTCAGAGCTGTGGAAGCTGAAATTTTGTCTAAAAGGGTGGAACTTTCCAAATTCGAAACAGAATATCGGGAGGTGAATATTTCATCTTCTTTACCTGACCTGCTCAGTGAGTTGCTTTATTTAGCTTATGTTGTTGATTTGGCTGTGATAGGTTCTAGCACAGTTTACAGAGATGACTGGTAGATATGCCCAAGAAATGCAAGCGGTGAGTTAAAACTTTCTGAATGTCAAATTTAAAGATTTTAATGTGCTGTCCTCTTTTATCTGGATCTTGATTGTCCAAATCATTCTAAGTTTTTATATTCTTATTTATGTTATATAATGTTGTTACAGATCGACGACCTTCTAAAGCAGAGGAATGAAATACATGCTTCATATACGACTGCATCCCCTATGAAGCGCAGTAGTAGTAGCAGAAGCAAGGGTAGAAGTGTGTCCAAGGAGGGAAATGACGATGGCCAAGCCAGAGATAAGAAGCCTACGAGGGAGCGGTCCAAGAAGAAAAAATGGTTTAATATTCACTTAAAGGTTGATAAAAGGAAGCCTTGCTAAATAGGTAAAGACTTGATCATGCAGTAGCTATCTTTATTAGTTATCTTTCTGCTATTCCTTCCTAAATTTTTGAGGTTGTTGCTTTTGAAGTTTATCAAGCACTGGGGACATGGGTTCAAATGTTGCATCGCTTCAAAGATTCTCTCGGAGCTTGAAGTTTAGTTTATTTCCTCCAAGGTTCTCTTAGGCCATGAGGAGTAATCGGGTGTCATCTCATGAAAGGGCTTGGAGATTTTGAAGCATGGCAGCAAGCATTGTATTTAAAATCTCTTTTCTTCTTCTTCTTTTTTTCTTTTTCCTTATCTCGTCACCATCCACCATTCTTGTAAATTGCCTTACATATATTCAAATTATTATTGTCTTCAATTTTGCTGGTCCTAGGGGTTGTTAAAGGGGTGACAATCAGTCCATATTTATGTAGGGAAGGCCTTAAAGTTTTGGCTAGACGCATATTTTCACTGGTTGGTACATAGTTCTATCCTGGACTGTTGATTTGTGCAGTTCCCTGGCTGCATCCATATATTGTTTTGCAAGTAAAAATGTAAAAGTACAGAGTTGATGCAGTGAGTTGTCCTCACAGCAAAATTCAAAGAACTATTGGCCTTACTGGTAGTACTGGCCAATTGTGTATACAGTTTGAACGATGGTGAGTCCAAGAAGAACAATGGCAGCAATCAGTGATATAGCAGTCCATGGATTCTTAAAGTAAGTATGCCTGAGATTGCCCAGCCATTTATTCCAGGGCTCCCTTGTGTAGGCAGCGGCCTTACGCCGGACAATGTTAACAGGGTTATTACTGTACAGATCAAGTGGGACATCTTTAGAGAGTGTGTTGAACAATTTAGCCAAGATGTCGTCACTTCCAACTGCATTGACAGTAATAATTCCATGACAACGCAAAATATCGACATCTTTATCGCTGTCGATAATGTCATCCATGAGAGCAACGTAAGAAGCCACTTCATTCCCTATATCATGGTGGAACATTTCATAGGCTATGAGGTTTAGATATACCGGCTCTGTATTGCCATCCACCATGAGGGCAGGGAGGGTAAGGACGCCCTTGTCGAATGAGACGTCTCCTAGGTTCTTGCTCTTGCCCTTTACAATCTTGATCCCAGCTTCATGAAGCCTTGTTGCTGGTGGAAGCTGATCTATTTTCTGATCTGTTCCGTGTGTCAGGATTTCTGATTCTTTATTGTTCATCGTTGGGACTTTGGTGTGACTGGGATCCAGTAAGAGAGTTTTACGATACACGTCCAACACATGTTTGCATTGTCCCAAATGTTTGCCGTATCCCAAATGTTTGCGGTGGTTGCCCGGAACGTAGAATTCGATTATGAGTGTGTTGATTTTCTCATTCAAATCTCCCTGTGAATTCTATAATCATCTTTTATAAATGTTGAAAAATTTGCAAATATTGTATACACACATTATTGAATCAATGAAGCTACGAATTTAAGGAAAAAGAAACTATGATTACCTGGACTGTTGGACATCCAAAAGGAAGCAACTTGATAAGAAGTGACATTGGCAATTGGTTCTCCAGCATCAACATGTCTCGTCTGATATTAGGCATCATGGAATTGACTTTGTTTCCGAAAATCGGATCATTTTCGGCGTAAGAAGAACTAGGTCCTTCATGGTTTTCTTGGAAATTATGTAGTAGTATCTCCAACATGAAACAGCCATCCCTTATCATCAGCTCCATGAATGCATCTGGATTCTCTTCCCATTTCTGACCCAATGAGTCATACGAAGCCTTCAACTCTTGCAGGAAAGCATCGGCGTCGTCGAAACAGAGGTAGAACCTCCGGGCTGAGGATCTTTTGATGAAACGGATCATGGCTCTTTGTTTGTGAGCTTCCATGGGAAACAAATGTTGGTCATCATGATGGTAAGGACCGAAGGAGACGACCCGAGGCTTGTAGGCATTCGGGTTCAGATCAGTGACCCGAGCAGGAAGCTTGTAGATGGAGTGCTGCTTCCATTTCTCCTCTTGTTCTCTCAACCGATCCGACAGCTGTCCCAACAGTTCTACAACCCAATGATTTTCACCCCTTTTAATGTCGGCCATACCTATTTCCAAAACTAGCTAGCAACAGAAAAATGATATGCTCTAGAAATAGCTGACAGGATTGAAGAGGATTGATGTATATATAACTCCAATCATTGATGTGTTTGTGTGTGTGTGTAGCAACTTAGAGTTGAAGTAAAATTGGATTCCGCATTCTGGGTTCTGACTGATTAAGTTGATTAATTAACTTAGCTTAATAGCGCAGCAAAGAATGGATAACTTTATCATCATTCTTATCAATTCCCCTTGTTAAAAATAATTTTATGCTTTTAATTAGTTATTAAATTGAGAAAAGGAAGAAAAACGTACGTATTAGTTTCTGTGTTATTATTATATCAACGTGCTTATATGCCTTGCTTAGAATTATGGAATCTGCTTTCCAAAAGTAGTTAACATGAACATCTCACGATTGGTCGTAACATAAGTATTCTTCTTAACAAAAAGAGCCGAAAACAATATTCCTTGCAAGTAAAATTGAAATCAAGTAAAAAGATAAAGTACAGTACAGAGATCGATGATCCATAGATAAACCAATAAGTACTAATGGCAAGTGAAATCTGCAACAGAAAAAAAAAAAAAAAAAGCTATAATACTAACAATTAGGTTTACTGACAGTATTGGCAAATAGCGAATACTGTCTGAATGATGATGGTGAGTCCAAGAAGAAGAATGCATGGCAGCAAATAGGGATAAAGCAGTCCATGGATTGTTGAAGTAAGTATGCCTGAAATTGGTCCGCCAGTGATTCCACTGCTTCCTTGTGTAGGCAGCGGCTTCGCGTCGAACACGGTTAATAACGTCATCGCTGCATAGATCAACGGGGACATCAACGGGGAGTGAGTTGAACAGTTTAGCCAAGATTTCCTCGCTTCCAACGACATTAACTTGAATGATTCCAAGAGAGCGCAAGAGGTGAACATCCTTATCCCTGTCGATGATATTGGCCATGAGATCCACGTAACATGAACCTTCATTCCCTATGCCGGGATGGAACATTTCGTAGGCTATGAGGTTAAGAAATGCTGATTCTGTAGTGCCAATGCCATTGTTGAATGAGGCATCTTTCAGGTTCTCGGTTTTGCCTTTTTTTCAATGGTGATCCCGGCATCATGAAGCCTCGTTGCTGGTGGAAGCTGATCTATCATCATATCCAATGGGAGAAGACTCCCCATCCATCATCATCATCAGGATGACAGCGTGTTAATAAATTTATCGAAATCCGGCACTGAAAATGAAACATGGTCATAGGACAGAGGACTGCAACCCTGTTGTCTGCTTGTGCTTCCACTAATTCCAGGCTCTAGAGTTCCATCAGGAGTAGTAATTATAAATTTCCAATACTAGTTTACATAAACATCTCATTTTTTCCAGTACTAGTTATGCTGGATCGCGATAAGTATAATTAAATTTTCCGGTATTTTCAAGGTTGGAAGTTGGAACCCCTTGATTTATAAGTCCCCAATATGTATGTACTGTATGTATTCTCAGCAAAAAGTGGACATGGAACATTGGAACTCGAATTTTTTTGTTAAAAATATAAAGTATACATATATACACATTTTGTCGACTTATTCATCGGGGTATCCATCTCGACGTGTAAGTCGAAGAAATATTCACTATGGAATTCCGTATTGCGTCGACTTATTCATCGAGCTATCTATCTTGAAGAATAAGCCGACGGGATTTACACCAGCAAGTATTTTCTTTTCGTCGATTTTCTCGTCCATCTATATATCTAGATGACTAAGTCAACGGAATTTTTCACCAAATGACTTTGCATTTCGTTGACTTTGTGATCGAGATATATATCTCGACGAACAGGTCCAACACTAAGAAATATTTAGTCTATATTGCTTTATACATTGACCTATCAATCTCGATGATCAAAGTGCCGAAATTTTCACTACGAAATAGTTACACTTTGTCGACTTATTCATTGAGATACATATCTTGACGATTAAGTTGAAGAAATTTTTCGCTAAAAAGTGTTTGCAGTTTACCAATATCTCAATAACCAAGTTGATGAAATACTTAAGGAAACTCTGCATTTAGCAGACTTATTCATTGGGAAAGTACATGTCGATGACTAAATTGGAAAAAGAAAAATCGTAAAAAATATTTCCACTTTCATGACTGATTTATCGAGCTATGCACATTGTGATCATTTTGCGGACGTATTCATCGGGATTCTATGCCAACAAAATGGACACTAAGGCAATAAAGAACTTTGTATTGCATCGACTTATTCATAGAGACATCTATCTCGATGAAAAAGTGGACGACATTTACACCGGGAAATATTTGCATTTCGTTCGATTTGCTTGTCCTTCTGTAATATCAAGAGTTATACACTTCCATCTTAAAATCATAAACCTAAACCTGGATGGAAATTCCATGCACAAAAGCAAACATATGGTATCAACAAAAATTGATCAAAACATACACATCATGTGGCTTCATTCTTCAAAACCTCATACTATAATCAGTACTTACATTTCAAAGTTCCCTCTTCCTTGGAACAAAAGAGGTGAACTCTCAAATCTGAATGGACAAATTGGCTTAAAGAAATACAACCTTAAATTCTACAAATCCGTTTCCTACTGCCCTTAGGATTTGTTAGTGGAATCACAACGACGCCTGACCTCTCCTTGATTTCCAGTCTTTACACCATAAACACCTGTTTTCTCCATTGCCCGACTAAAATCTTCAAAAAACGCCGTTTGGTTCTTGGCATAAAGATCAACAAACGGCTTTGTCCTCGGATCACTTGCCATGGCCTGATCCGTAGCCAACAACCCGATACCTTTCTGCAAGTTGAGATAATACATGTTATCGAATTTCCCTGGCGTAATCGCATCATTAAACGCCGCAATTGCTTTGTCCATCAAATAGTTGGCACACAAAGTCTTCAACCCGGCAGCATACAGAGGATTCATAGACGGATCCGTTTTGGAATCCTTGCTGAAATTGAAGAGCCTGTAGCTGAATTCAGAGCAATGTGAAAACCCAATTGTATGCGCCCCTGTTAATGCCACCATTTCCCTGATATTGAATCCTTTTTTGGCAAAAATGTCGATAATCTCTGTTATTGACATGTTTGATCTGGCAATGTGTCCTTCAACTTCTACGGCTTTCGATGTTAAACTGTCTTTTCGGCCTAATCCCACTTTGTAAAACGGCCCTCCAACCATGGTGATTAGGTCCCTTGTCGCCTCGGCTAAGATGTCGGAGCACGAAACGATTCCAGGACATTTCAGTTCCAGGGCAGTTTTCGCCCGGACGATTACTTCGAATGCGTCCCCCGGGAGGGATTCGTTGATGTCCGCATCGCGTTCCGCCTTGTTGAAGCTGTTGGAAGATATCAGGAGGGATGCATCGCATCCTCCGACCATACAGTCGTGGAAAAAGACGCGAAGAGTTCCGGCGGCCGTGGTCGGATTCGACATCTGTTTCACTGTGATTATTTCCTGAATGATTTTTTGGAAATCAGGGCATGTTTTGCTGTAATAATCCTCTGTAAGCTGGCAATCTGCTAAATTGAACAATGTTAAAGATGAAACGAGGAACAGTGAAAGAAGATAAGGCAATGCCATAGCTTTTTCGATTTTGGAAAATTAATGTCAGTCTTACGTTAGTGTAACCAAAGAAAAGAAACAAGCAAAAACAAAAAAAGACTGTTGCTCTAGAGTATGGTGAAAATTGCAATCAGGGAGTGTGTTATGGTGCAGTGGCTGAGAGGGATTAGAGGGACTTGATTCGTTTAACTTCTCAATTAAGAAAGCTTTCTTTTTGGTGGATTATAGGTCCAAAGATAATTTTGGCATCCGGATTTCCCTCTTTTCCCTGATGCACAAAAAATTGCTATAATTAGACTGTCCAGAAAAAAAACCAATGGTGGTTTGAGGCTTTGTGCTGATTTACTAACCTTTGTGTTTACTCCATTGAGTTCACAGATTCCCAGCTATATGCTTAAAAGTTGGAAACGATGTGGAAGAATGGAGATTGAAAGGATGAGTTCAAAAGCAAACATTAATCATTTTTTTTTTTTTTTGGTTCTTTTTCGGTGCAATGAACAAAGCCTTGTATTCTAAATTATTGGAGATAAGCCACTTCAATAATATCATGTCCTAAAAACTAACTTTGTAACTTGGCAAAATGTTAAATGTTAAACAAAATTTTAAATACCCAAGAAAAACTTGATTCATACCGTGAAAACTATAACTACTGAATCAATTAGTGTTTCAACCTTAACATGACAGGAAATGATAAAAATAAGATTTATTGGAAAAATATACTTCCTCTATTCTTTATGAAATGACAAGATCACTTTTGTAATCGAATGGGTCGTTATGAGCATGCAACTATGATTAAAGTAGAGAACTTTGTCTTTCGGAAGGAGCCTATCCAGTTCGAATCCGAAGTAGTGAAACCAATAACTTCAGAATTCATATATCGGTGCGTAATATATATGTAAGAAAAATGACAATATCAACAGTATGTGGGACCGGAATTGGCCTCTAAATTGCCTTCACATGCCGCTAAGAATACAATATTTTCAATTTCTGGGTATCAAACTCACATGTCACTAAGAATAAATAATGATCAAATGAGTAGACTAAACCGCCGCAATATTCTACTATTCTACTCTCCCTCTTAAGGCTCTAAACAAGATAATTGATGAAATTATCATTTCATCCGAGCGAACCAATTATCAATCAATCACATCAATAATGACAACTAGAGGCAAAGTCCAATACGAAAACGAGGAAATTGATTCAATGAACTCTCTTACCTGCTCATTTTGCCAAAAAACCACCAATTTAAGCACGTTTTTCAGTTGTTTTTTTAATACCAGTGGTGTGTCAACCATTGCTGTCTCCGTCTCCTCCATTTAAAAAAATATGGTCACTATAGCAGCACCGCCCAAAGGACTTGCCTAAAGTTCTACCCTTTTTTTCGAACAACAGAAATGTCTACCAAGCGTTGCAACAAGATGAGGGATTTCCAGTTGCTTTTGATTTGTGCTACTTTTATTGAAGCAGTACAACTCTGCTTTTGTTTTGGGTCCGGAGAACTGTACCAGACCTGCTGTTTGAATCCCTTTTTGGCTGATGAAAATGCTTCACTGAAAGACGCTGTATTGAGGCTTGCGAATGAGCCGGAAATGTTGGAATGGATGAAGGACATCAGGAGAGAAATACATGAGAACCCGGAACTTGCTTATGAAGAACTGGCCACCAGTGCTTTAGTTAGGCGTGAGCTTGATCGGATGGGGATAAAATACCGGTGGCCGGTGGCTAAGACCGGCGTGGTGGCTTCGATTGGGAGTGGTTTTGCGCCTTTTGTCGCTCTTAGAGCTGATATGGATGCTCTGCCTATTCAGGTTTGTTCTTTCTGCAAACTATTTTTAATATGGCCTTTAAAGTTCTGTTTAAAGAGTGGAATTTTCTCTGCTTTTATGTCTCGTTATACTGTGTAATTGTGAATCTTAAGAAATGAGAAATTTTTTTTGCCAATTTTCAGTTTGGTGTTGGTCTTATTAACAAAAATTGAATCTAGAATATGGTTATTTTCGCAATTTGAACAGTGATTTCAATGTCCTAACAACTGACGAAGTCAAAATCATAATGACAAATTGAATTACACAATCAATTCCACATTTAGCAAATGGTCTCAATAAGATTGGCTTCTACTACAATTGGCAGCTTGTGAAAATCATACTGCCCCGCATGTAGGAACTGACTGAATTGGAGCATAAGAGCAAAGTAGATGGTAAAATGCATGCTTGCGGACACGATGGGCATACCACAATGCTTCTAGGCGCCGCAAGAATACTTCAAGAACTCCGAAGCGGCTTAAAGGTATGCGAAAATGTACAAAATGCAGCAGCAGCTATGTATGCATTTGAAAAGTTCGTTCCTTAAAATTTTGAAACTTAATGATGTAGGGAACAGTCCTGTTATTATTCCAACCAGCAGAGGAGCGAGGTGAAGGCGCAAACGACATGATAAAAGAAGGCGTTCTTAACGATGTTAGTGCTATTTTTGGTGTGCACCTGGTCAGCCAGTATCCCAGTGGTGTTGTTGCATCAAGGCCCGGAGAGTTTCTAGCCGGCTGCGGAGGCTTTAAGGCAATCATAAGAGGAAAGGGAGGTCATGCAGCTGCACCCCAATCAGCCATTGATCCTGTTTTGGCAGCAGCAACCTCCATAATCAGCTTGCAGAATATCATATCAAGGGAGACTGACCCTTTAGATTCACAGGTAAACTCAAATGTTGATGTACAGGAGTAAATGAGTAACACCTACCTTGCAAGGAGGACTATACCTTGCAAGGAGGACTAATAAATACTACTAGCAAAATTTTCTTTAGTTGAACTATCTGTTCACTAGAGCTTAGAACAGAACTCAAATTATGCAGGTGGTTTCGGTGACTATAGTCCAAGCCGGAAATGCTAACAATGTTATTCCAGAATCAGTTACTATAGCTGGTACTTACAGGGCATTTGGGAGGAAAAGCTTCTATGCTCTAAGAAAACGAATCGAAGAGGTAATTCATTTGAACCTTGATTACTTTTCTAACATTAGGGAAAACCCCTGTGAGATAATGTTTCTGACTTCTGACAAGTACCTGAAGAAGTTTAATTAAGGAAAGCAAAAAATAATTTGTTTTGTTTGCTGGATCTTTTCAGGTTATAAAAGCTCAGGCAGGCGTGCATCGGTGCACTGCTGAGGTTGAGTTTGATGGGAAAGATCATCCAACTATACCTCCTACAGTGAATGATGAGGGAATATACAGACATGTGAGACAAGTTTCAAGTATGATTTTAGGGGAAGAGAACATAGAAGTGGCAACCATCTTCACAGGGAGCGAAGATTTTGCATTTTACTTGGAAGAGATACCTGGATCATTTCTCCTACTTGGGACAAGAAACGAGAAGATTGGAGCTACTTATCCTGCACACAGTCCATATTACACCATTGATGAGGATGTATTTCCCAGTGGGGCAGCAATACATGCCACATTTGCCATTTCTTACCTTGAAAGTTTAACAAACAATTGTTCCAACTCCTGCTTTTAGAACATTGGAAGTTGGAAATTTTCCTCAAAACTCTTACAAATGTAGATTATTGCGCGTCAGCAGTATGTTTTACCGTTGTTGAAGAAATGAATAAAAATTGAGGATCAACATTGACACCAATGGTAATTGAACATATAAAAATGGCAACAGAAAACTTGTACATTACACAGACAAAGGATCAGTAGTGCATCAGTTCATTACAAATGGAAAACAAACCTCAACGCTTCTTTTACATGAATTCAACGCTTCTTTTACATGAATAATGGTCCAAACAAAGGATGATGTAACAAATTAACTTGGAAACAAAGAAACACACAAGCATTCTGGAAAGTTTGCTCTTATGATCACAGGGATCAATCAAAGGGATCATCTCACATCTTTCCAATTCCTGCCATTGCCATAGTCAAAGAAAGAGCCAAGGTGAAGATGGCTACAATTGCTGATGGGAAGGAGTTGAGTGAGGCCATGGAAGGTTTAGGAGGAGGAGAAGAAGAATGAGGAGGAGCAGGAGCAGGGGAGCTTGAAGGAGCCATCTTGGAATGATCATGACCCTCATGGGCTCTCACTGCAACAATGGCAATCATCAAAATGGCAAAACAAAACACTGCTTTCAATGAGGCTGCCATTTCCTTTTTCTCTCTTCTTTTTTCTTTCGTTTCTCCAAAATGGCTTGCAGATCAGTTGAATGACAGTGTCTGTTGATTGATCATTGTTTCATTTTTGGTTTCTATTTATAATGCAGAAGATGATTGAAATCACTACATTGTTGGTCATATTATATTGAATGTCAATTCATAAAATTAAAAAGTTGTGATTGCCATTAACATTGCCGTACAACCTTCCCAAGTTGATGAAAGTTGTACAGTTTGTACTACATTATTCTTTGGTGACCCTTTGAACTATTCTCTTAAAAAATTGTTGACTTACGCCAAATTGTTCATATAAATAACCACTAATTAATTAGATAGATGATCATTCTTCTATGTGAAAATTAAGACAATGTCAACTCATTATTGATCTTCTTTTTTTTTCTTTGTACTAGTGGAACAGCAGTAAGGCCAAGTATTAAGTTCCTTTTCTCTTATCATGGAGAGTTGTTAACTACCTGTCATTGTTGAACAGTTGTTTTTATTCTGTTACATTGACTAAGTAAGATGCCATTTGATAAAAATTGGGAAGTATATAATTCTCAATTATAATCGTTGAAATAAAAAAAAAAAATCCAATTCATTAAATGAATTTAAAGCAATTTCTATTAGAAGATGGGCTAACAAAATTGAAAATGAAGGAAGGCCCGTTTTCCCAAAGGATTGCTGGACACCTACATTTTGCAGGCTCTCCTTAAATTGGCCCAATGTGTGAGCCCAAGATAAGGACACATTTACAACCGGCAACAATCCTGGGAGTCTTCTCCATCATCATCATCATCTTCTTCTTCTTCTTCTACTGGAGCGCCATCATCGCTCAGCCTTCGTCTTCCCATTAAATTTATCTCCTTCTCTGCAACTTCTTCTGCTCCGCTTTCACCTGCCAGACCCCACATTCGACCCCACTTACATATGGGGTCCACTTCTGCGCTTTCGCTATGTTCTCCCTCAATGGTAAGTAAGGTCAGGCTATCTAGCCGCCTTCCTCAATGGTAGTATTTTTTTGCCTAATTTAAATTTTTGTTTATTTGTTTCAATGTTTTTGTACTGCTTGAATTTTGAAGGTTAATCGTTTGGATCATGAACAAAACAAAGGGTTAAAGGGAAGAGTCTTGAGTCGCTCGTTAAGCTATGGTGCGCAGGGTGCTCTACTTCCACTTACTCCACTCTATATTAGTAGTAGTAGTCGGAGGAGCAGAAGTGTGCGCTTGCGGATAAGGGCCGCAGCGTCCGACGGCGTTTCGAGGCGGCCATCCTCGGGTTCCCGGAGAGTTTATAGGGAGTCTCAAGCTCAAGGCCCACCGGCTCCCGTTAAAGAACTTGCTTCTTCCATTGCCCCAGTTGGTGCATTCGTTGTTGTCACTTTTGGTACGGTTCTTTCTTCTTATTGCTGCATTTGATTGCTTAGTTATCATGATTTTTGTTTTGAATTATGAAATGAAAAAATGCTGTAGAGAAATGTGATTGGCCTGATTGTGTTGTTATTGTTTACTTATTCTTATTAATTTATTGATGCATCTTAAGACCTTTTTTTGCTTCAATGTGTTTGGAGATTGAAAGCTTTTCGGTTATTTTGTCTGTAATTTTGAAATGCTGCACACTTAAGGGAAATGTTATATTCTTGGAACAAGAGGATTTGTAATCAGTCAACTGATCACGTGTTTTCAGCTTACAGTTTTATGGAAATTGGTGGAAAAAATTCTTGTGCCTAAACCAGCTAAGTCTCCGTCAGAGGAGAAAAGATCTACTGAGGGAGTGAAATGGTCCTTTGCTCCAGGGACCAACCTCTTATCGCCTTTTACTGCAAAGGCTGAGAGAGAGTCCAGGCAAAGACTCAATGAATTCGCCAAAGAACTGCGGTTATTCCAAAGCGTTGATATGTCAGGTAATTTGGATATTTTTACAGCTGTTCTTGTGCTGCTTGTATTGTTCATTGCTGTCAACTACATATTGATGGAAATCCGAGTTTTTGGGGAAATATATTTCACGTATTTAATTCTATTGGATTTTGGTATCCTTTGAAACCCTTCCTTTCCTTTTCTTGTTTCCATGGTTATCAGAACAAAGTATTACAGGTTGCTGTTTTACTGTTACAAGCATTAGTTATTCTTTTACATATCAATAAATTCACATTATCTTAATTGGGAGGTGTACTATGTGCTAAAGCTTTCTCATCAAATGTGTGTGTCATTGTTTTATTCTTTTCATCTTTCTGATAATTCAATGTCAGCTTTCTTTTCTTCGTCCGTGCGCGTGATCTAAAAATTTTGGTTGCATAGGGTTCTCGTTTTAATGGTATGAGAAACTTTTGGCAGGTCGTGGTTTTGGGAATGAAGGGCTTTATTTTCTAGCTGAGAGCTTGGCTTACAACCAGGTTAGTCAGACAGTGAATGCTTATGCAGCTACATTTGCATGGTTAAAAAGCAAACCATCATTTGTACATATTATCCATTTTAACTTGGAAAAAGTGAACCATTTTGTCGAGTTAGGGAAGGCGTTTCCGGTCCTCTAATAAACTACAGTTCATTATTTTTCTTCCTTCTTTCAGACTGCAGAGGAAGTGAACTTTGCTGCTAATGGAATAACTGCAGAAGGCATAAAGGCCTTTGATGGTGTTTTGCAATCAAATGTTGCTCTAAAAACTTTGGACCTTTCAGGCAACTCGATAGGAGATGAAGGAGCCAAGGTAAATATTGCTGGCTCTAGTCCTATTTAACGAATGCTGACATCCATGTTTTATTATCTACTTTTCTTGTGATGAATTAAGGTTGTCTAAGTTGTTATGCTGCTATTAGTTGGGCATGGCAACTTTGATTTTTTACATGTTTTGTTGGTGGGTTGACTAATTGCGATTCACTATGTTCATGTTAATTCTTAAGCTCAGGTGAATTCCTCTTCATAGCCTAAAAATTATGTTGTTTTTAGTGATGTCCAGTTCGGACACATGGCCTTTAAACCTTTACAATAGCAATTGGAGTCATGCATTGTCGCATGGCTCTCATTTAAATTCCTGCTGTAGGATTTATTTTTTTGAAAAATACCTTTAAATTCCATATGGCATGGATATGACAGTGAATATCTTGCAAAACTTTCCCTTCTTTGTTAGAGTGTAACTTGCTGAGAAAGTGTTGCTGATAGTAACCATAGCATGTTTGTGTGAGTTTCTACATAAGCTTAACAAGAGGTGCTATTTTACCTCTGTAATTTTATGGTTGAATTGATTGGTTAGTATAACATGTGAAATTCATATACTTGCAGATATTGTCTGAAATTCTGATGGGAAATAGCAGCATTCAAAAGCTCCAATTGAATAGCACAGGATTGGGAGATGAGGTTAGTTTCCCTTGATGGAGATCGCATACATATAATTGTTGCGAGCTAAGGAGATGCAATGAACTTAACTGATATGAGAGCACTTTTTAATTGCAGGGAGCAAAAGCTATTGCTGAACTATTGAAGAAAAATGCTAACTTGCTTGTTCTTGAACTCAACAACAATCTAATCGACTACTCGGTAGGACTTCAAAACAACTATGCCATTTCAATTCAACGATAAAACCTTATTTCCTTCTAACCTTTCTATGCTATTGATGGTTTGGAAATGGAGGTAGGGATTTTCAGGCATTGCTGAAGCACTTCTTGAGAATAAAAGTGTAGAAGCCTTGTATCTCAAGTAAGTAGCTAACTGATTTCCTTGTTCTGTAGATTTTCCTTTTTTCTGACCTCTTCAATGGAAGTTGGGGTGAAGGACTTCGTTTTCCAATATTTCCGAAGAATTTTATTTGTCTTTTTTATCTTTTAATCCCTTTCAATAACTAGGGTTTTTATTTTCCTATTTTTTTGGGTCTAGTGGAAACTATGGTGGTGCTTTGGGTGCTTCTGCTCTCGGGAAAGGTTTGGAGGGGAACAAATCACTGAGGGTACATCTCTGTTTCATTCCCCCTCCCCCAGCCCCCCACTTTCTTCGGTTTGCATGATAAACATGATTTTCCTTTTTGTGTTGTGAATTGTTAATTCCATTCATAAACTAAACAAGTGCCAAGATCATAAAGCTTCTGGAATAATGTTTCGTCTTGGTGTAATAATTTTGAGCACACTCAGTTTTCCGTCTATGGTATTAGTCCCTTGAATATGGGATGGGTTCTGGTACAGTTGTACCTTTGGTTCAATGCCTATGAAAAAATGACCAAAGTCCTAACTTCGCAATCTATTATGCCGACATGTGGTGTGCTTAGGCATAATCCAGATAACTTAAGTAATCTGTTGGATTGCAGTTTTAACCTATTGTTCTGTGGAGTGAAATATCATGATTTACCATGATCCTGGTCTGTGCTTACAATACTTCACACATGTGAAATAGTTTACGACGTTATCTTCAGCTTTCTCTCGTGCTTCCATAAAATGGTTGTACATTTATTGCGTTTATGAACTTTTGTGTTGCGCTTTCCTGTCGCAAATAAATGTATAAGTTATTTCTATTTGCTCCTTATATGGAAATTACTGTGGTTTGTGCATTGACCTGTAATGTTGTTTCATTGGTTATCTGCTGCAAGATCCTTTGGCAACGTATTACTATTAAGTTTCAATCTTCAAGTCAATTGTTTTCTGGATAAATGATGGTGTGCATGGCATTATGATTTAGTTATCTTACATTGATTAAGTGATATCATGTTTCTGCCCAAATGTCTAGAACCTCTTTCTGAGTGGGAATACTATTGGAAATGAAGGTGTTCGTGCTCTGATGGCTGGGTTATCTGCACGGAAAGGTTCTTACTTAAACCTGCTTCAATTTTTTTTTAGATTCTCAGAATGTATCAACTACTTCTAACACGATGAGCACTTACCAGGCGGAATCACAAATTTGGACATTTCGAACAATTCAATCACTGCCACAGGCGCTTTTCATGTTGCCGAGTATATTAAAAGAAGCAAAAGCTTGAGATGGATAAATATGTACATGAACGATATTAAAGATGAGGTATTTATTTTGCATCCTTCATGATGTCTGAGATTGGGGAAATAGGTCAATTGTGTCAATTAAAAGGCAGAAAGCAATTTCGTTTGGGTAATGAGAATTTGGATGAAGATACAAATAGATAGAAAAGTTTTCAGCAATTTATTTTGATTCCCAGGGAATGGAATTACGATGATGTATGAATCCAGGGGATGACATGTACTCATGATCAATTTCCTGCCTGTTTTGTCCCTGGACTATTCAAAGCAGTTATTACTGAGGATGAATGTAGGAAGTCTATCAATTTTCTGGAAAGAATTAATTGTGTCTTTGGTTTCTAAAACTTTTTTGGGGAATGTTGGCGTTTTATATCGATGGTTCATGGTCTTTTGTTCTATATTAAGCCAAGTTTTAGCTATTTGGACGCAAAACTTATCAGTAAACTCATGATACTGTCTGTCTGTGTTAGGGAGCTGAGAAAATAGCAGAGGCATTGAAGCAGAACCGCTCTGTAACAGTTATAGATTTGGTAAGTATATATGAATCTGCATATTATGAAAAGTTGTTCAGCAAGATCTTTTGATAATAATTCTGAGACGGCTCTTACAGGGGGGAAATGACATCCATGCAAAGGGTGTCACTGCTATTGCACAAGTCCTCAAAGACAATTCTGTCCTTACAACAGTCAGTTACTGCTTCCAGTTTTTATTTTCAGTCCTTATAATTCTCAGAAGTTAATCTTAGTAAAGGTTGCCCTCTTGCCTCCAGTTGGAGATTGGATACAACCCAATTGGGCCCGAAGGAGCAAAGGCATTAGCTGAGGTTCTAAAGTTTCATGGAAGTATAAACAATCTTATGCTTGGATGGTGTCAGGTAACATGGAATAAACAAAAAAAAGTAAAATAAAAAATAAAAAGTTCTGTAGGCCTTTGTTCTAAATCTATTTCTGAAATATGACTTTCTTTCAGATTGGCGTCGAGGGCACAGAGTACATTGCTGACATGTTGAAGTACAACAATACCATAGCATCTCTGGACCTACGATGCAACGGACTTAGAGATGAGGTTATTTGACTCCCTTTATATGTTTCTCTGTCAGCAATTATCATAGTAGGTCTCTTACTATCTTTGAATTTCTTTGTCAGGGAGCCTCGTGTATAGCCCGTAGCTTGAAGGTGGTCAATGAAGCTTTAACAACTCTCAATTTAGGATTCAACGAAATCAGAGTATGGAATCGTTTCCTCTGGCAACTTTTAGATGTTTTCTTATTTCCGGCATCATTTTTTATTTTATCTTTTTCGCCACAGGATAACGGGGCTTTTGCTATCGCTCAAGCACTCAAAGCAAATGAAGATGTGAGACTGACATCATTGAATTTGGCCAGCAACTTCCTAACTAAACTGGGACAGGTAAGTAGACCGCCTGTCCATTCATTTTTCCATTTGAATTATGTTTCGCTTCTCCACATCAACCTGGAGATTATAGCTTCAGCTCAAATAAACATTGAATCCCATGCAGACTGCTCTAACAGATGCAAGAGATCATGTCTTTGAGATGAATGAAAAAGAAGTCGCTATATTCTTTTAGAAGGCATTATAGATTGGTGGACAGGTGCATCATACTAATCTCATCGAAGATTTGAAGGACCATTAACTGGGTGATAAATTTAGCCCTCGGGTACAAGTATTCATCCTGTTTGTCCTGTTTTGTGAACCTGGACTGACTTTCATTTACTAGAGGGGGCACCAGAAATTTTGGCACGCTGAGAACACGGTATTAGTTGAGACTGGTATTTGGACTCGGGAATTTTGGATGCGAACATAACCAAAATATTAGGATGTAAATGGTGAGACAGTTATTATTATGATTTTTTGGTAGTAGGAAAAAGGTGTTGGCTAACAGGTATTACAATGCTGGTGGTTGTAAAGAACTGTTTCAAGTTGCTTTTTTGAGGAAGAACCGTAGCACAGTTGTGACTGCAGAAAATTTGAATGACAGTTTTAAATGAAAAAGAACACTATCTGTATTTCTCCAGCCATTTTTCAAGACGCTTGTAGTTCAGCGCAATGTGCAGTCAGTTCATGGCCATAGAAAAGATGAAATGAAGAGGTAAATATACGAAAATTACTGATGAAATGATGGGACAAAGAACCATCATCGTTGTCAATCCTTTATCGAAAATATGGGGCTAGATAGAGCAGGAAGATGGGATTGCTTGAAGCTTAAAGCATGCGCCGAAACAGGACCAATCCTGACTCCATTGCTTTGAGAAGATCTGAGGATGGAGAAGTGGTGTCCAGCTAACCATCTTCAAGTGAAAACGCACAGAAGTGACCCCAGCTAATTAACCTCATGCTCGGTCAATCGAAACACTCTCTCAAAGAAAATGATCAGTAATTATTGACGACATTAGAGGCCGATAACATATGGTATAAAAAAAAAATTACAAGGACTGGATTATAGAGGCTTCAAACTAGGACTAGAAAGTAGAGTGTGGAAGTGAAAGGTAAAATGTCAATCCAATAGTGTCCCATACTGTTGTTGTTGTCAGTCGTGCGACATGTATGTGAATTTCGGACCCTCTTTTCCCAAGCTTTGGTGTCTCCCACTTCTCCGTCATCATCAATTCTCTCCAGCTGGATACCAGCTGGCTCTGCTTGATCACGCTGAGACGATGATTCATACATATCAAGGATTCTCAACTTTTATGTGTACGGAAATTCTTGCTTTATTTCGGCGGAAAACGACACTGTAAGAACGGCCCGAATCCATATCTCTCTTGATGTGAATAATGGGCGATGGATATATCTATTCAAGTCCCGATCTTATGGGGCGTAGTGTTAACTTTGTCCGTTATCGGTTTAGCCCATCCTCTAAGGTGTATTACTATAGAGTGTGTAGATTGTTCTAATCAAATGCATTATGGTTGAGGGGAAGAGACTCCTCAGCTTGCTTAACTGATGACGGCCTTTTAGATTGCGCCTTCTATTTGTTGAAATTGTCTTAATTGTGTTGCCTATAACTCAGCAAGGGACGTCAATTATTGTTACAGGTAAATGTACATAATGCTTATATTAATCATACGAGTCAAGAAAACGGAAAAAAAAAAAAGAAAGAAAAAAGAACATTCAATGCATCCAATTGAACCATGCAGATTCTTTTGAATCTGACAGGAAAAGGACAAACAGACGAGGAGGAGGAGGAGGGCGTGAGTTGGTTCTTCAAAAGTTTTTGTCTAATTTTGCCTTCTTAGTTGATTTTTACTTTTTAACTCTGTTTTATTAGGATGGCAAAGGTTAAGCAATTACAGTGAACTCTCTCTATAAATACACAGGCAAGGACACATTGAAGAGAAAGCAGTGCAGAAAGAAAAAAGGCTAGTGTTTTCTTCATTCAGGCTTGAAAACCATTATTAACGCTTTTCCATTCTATTCGGACGAAGAGGAAAAAACCATTGGAGGAGTCTTTTAATCAAGATTGTTAGTAAAAATGAATCCACGCGTGGTGCTTGTGGTGGCCATCCTGATGATCTGCATTTATCAGGTAAATTAATACTTATGAAATCTGTATGCCTTTCTCAATATGTATATGTTTCAAGCTTAATAACTTGATGAATTCTGCCATGACGCTTATAACACAGATATCATCAGATGCTGAAACCGAGGAGAAGCTGCAGGAGCAATCAATGGTGAACAAAATAGCCCCTGATATATATACACATTGCAGCTCTCTTATATGCTACATGTATTGCCCTTTTTCATGTATATATTTTTTCAATAATGTTTTTGTGTGTTGATTCTGTTAGGTGGTGGTGAGAGGAGCTAACCGGAGGCTACTTCCGTTGATGGGTACGTACATACAATTCTAAATTACTACTTCCTCTGTAACCTGTAAACTCAAAGCGGACTTAAAAAAAAAATAGAAGCAGTACTACTTCTGATTTTCACCATAGAAGAATAATAATAATACTGTGAAGTATGATTGGGTACAAACAATTTTGTGTGTGGGTGGGTGGCAGACTGTGGGGGGCTGTGCAGCGTGAGGTGCGGATTACACTCGCGGCCGAACCTGTGCAAGAGAGCTTGTGGAACCTGCTGCTTCCGGTGCAAATGCGTGCCTCCCGGCACTTCCGGAAACCGAGAGCTCTGTGGCACCTGTTATACCGACATGACCACTCACGGCAACCGCACCAAGTGCCCTTAAGATTTGTTTTTTCACTTAGGCTAGAATCTTTTCAAGTCCATGGCAACCTAAAATGATCACCCCCTCCAACCCTACCTGTTGTGTTTCTTAGACTAAATAATGTGGACTAATGTTCTTGTTCTTATTGCTGCTACCTTTTGGAAATTGGACCGTTGATGTGTGTTTAGGTTTTTTTTTTATTATTCATGTAACGAAATAATTTGCTAGTAAATCCCACGTTGTTCCTTTCCACCAACATTCAAGTGGATTATAATTTTTGTTTTTTCTTATGAATAATTTCGTGCTCCGTGTCCGAATTCACTGCCGCTAACCATATATCCGAATCCACTTGGAAATGGAATGGAGGTTGTAAACATTCAGAATACGCACCAAATGCAATATCACGACGTGGGTATTTGGGTTGGGCTAACTAAAACCCAATATCTATAATATGCTAGTGTAGCAGTCCATTTAGTTTTAGATTTTAGAATCAGGATGGTCCCCAGAAGAGCCCAACCCAAATACATCAAACTCTCGGCCGGCGCCGTTGAAAAGTCTATTCCATTCCCAACAAACACATCTGGTGCGGTGGTGTGGTCCGCGTCGCCCTTTTCTTCTCATATACAGTTGTTGTATAAATCATTGCCTCCGTCCACCCCCGGTTGCTTTCGATTCTACAACGGAAAAAGTGCCCCCTTTTTTTAATCCTTCCAATTGGTTCCTCAAGAATCTGTAACATCTAACATTGTACTCCCTCCGTTCCGTAATTATTATCCAATTTAAGATTTTACTTTTTAATATAATTTGAACTAAAAATAAAAATTCAAACTGAAAAATAATTATGGGACGAAAAGAATACATAAACACAACCTCTTCAAATGTATTAACCTTTTTAATTGACATATGATAATGCCACATAATTAGTCACATCATCAAATCCATTAATTATGTTGCCACCTCTTCCAATTAATTATAAAGATTGGACCAATAATTAGTTTTTAATCAAAGAGTTTGTTTTGTGATCAAACTGAAATTCATTTTACCAGTTCAGTAAAATTGGTTAAACAATTATTATTATTATTATTAATATTATTTTTTTGAGTTCTATCAAATTAACGGAAGAATTTGTTCTGTACTCTTTCATGTAATCAAATTAAGAAATGTTTTCTTGTACCAAAAAAAAAAACAAAAAAAAACTAAGAAATGTTTTCTATTGGTTCACGTAATGAAATCAATCCTTGTAACTAGTTTAGCGTGACTTTCCTTCCTCTATTAATTTTTTTTTTTGAGGAAACTTTATTAATGTATTTATAATCATAAGAAACGCAAAAACATCCTCGCCATTGCGGCTGTTTTTGCCTCACTGCATCTATGCTTATAGATTTTTTTTCCCCTTTTTTGGTCTAACGTTAGATACTGATATTTATGTTTTGTTTTTGTTTTTTTCTGGGACCTTCATAGTAGAACAAATTTTTAATACTTTGGGTATGTTTGTCTCGTTTTCTAGTGTGTATTTTTAAGTGTTTTTTATATTATAAATATAAAAAAGTGTATTAAAAATGTAAAAAAGTATGTTGGAATGAGATAATTATTATTAAAATAATTTTAAAAAACTATCCAAAAAACCAAACAAACAGAGCCGCTTCTTTCTTGATTTGGTTTATTTCTTCCTATACTGCAAACTACAAACAATCTCAACAATCCAACAGAGTGCTTATTGATTCTCACCCTCCAAGGTCGCCAATTGCGCGGTCTAGCATGCTAGTGTATCTCCAAAAAACACTATCTATACCTTTTCCGTTTTGGCCTATCGAAAGTGCAACACGAATAAATGGCTAAAATGGGACTCTTTTTAATGAATATGAATATTTCCACCACCCAATCAAGCCATTTTGTACACCAACCAATTATTGATGCCCAACTGATTGAAAAAAAAAAAGAAGCAAAGATTCAAATATGATTTTTTCCACATATTGAGTGGCTACTCTGCCATATTCTCTCATGGATCTCTCTAGTCTCTATCATTCCTCATAATGAAGGTACGATCTTTGTATTGAATGGCCGCGTTTTGAAGATCTTTTTTCACACATGTGGCAATAAACAGAGCCGGTAGCCCACAACACACACACACGCGCACACACACACACACACCCCCCGACTTCAATCAACAGCTTACGAACTAATGATGTTGCCACTTTCTGTGTGGTTTGTTGGTGCGATTGTTTGTAGCCCATACCTACCCATCTGTCATCAGAAATTACTTTGCTGCCAACGTAAGACGGATTACGTCAATAGGATGATGAGTAACTAGGTGATGTCAAGTATACCTACGCATGCATGTGATCAAATCAGATTGAGTAAATCTTTTTGAATTGTGCACCCCACCCGATATTTATTTATTTTTGGTCACTATAAATAATCATCATTCATAGACAAACAAGAAGCACGAGTTAAAAAGTCGATGATCAGCACACAAAGATATCACAGAAATCAAATCAATGGAGGGAAGAACTCATTCTCATTATCATCAACCACCCCATGTTGTGGTAGTTCCATATCCAAGTCAGGGTCACATTAACCCTCTTCTCCAATTCGCAAAACGTCTCTTTTCTAAAGGCCTCAAATCCACCATAGCCACAACCCGTTCCACTGTCAAGTCCATCAATGCAGCTGGCATTCAGGTGGAGGCCATCTCTGATGGTTTCGGCCAAGGCGAAATTCCTCAAGCCGGGAAAGAAGATGTCTACCTCAGGGCTTTCAGAGAAAATGGTTCCAGAACTCTGTCCCAAATCATTCACAAGTACAAGGATTCTGACTCTCCAATCACTTGTATCGTGTATGATTCTTTCTTGCCATGGGCTCTTGATGTTGCCAGGCAACATGGTATCTACGGAGCATCCTTTTTCACTAATTCAGCCACAGTTTGTGCCGTTTTCTGTCACATACATCACGGCACCCTCACGTTACCTGCGAAACACGAGGAGATGGAGTTGCCGTTAATGTTGCCCGGCTTACCGCCCTTGAACTCCCCTGATATTCCCAGCTTCATTAAGGCGCCTGAAAGCTACCCTGCTTATTTGGCTATGAAAATGAGCCAATTCTCCAATTTGGAAAAAGCTGATTGGATCTTTAACAACAGCTTCCACGAATTGGAGGCTGAGGTAGGTAACATGTTCATTACTTACAGAATTATCAAATTACCTAACAGTTTGTTCATCAAATTTCTCACAACAACCGTTTTTCTTTACAGGCAGCCAAGAGTGTATCAGAGCTCTGGCCTGCAAAGTTGATCGGACCTATGGTCCCGTCAGCTTATTTGGACGGCAGGATTGAGGGAGACAAGGGATATGGAGCTAGTTTATGGAAGCCCCTCAGTGATCAATGCATCAAATGGCTTCAACATAAGCCAAGGAGATCAGTGGTTTTCATATCCTTTGGAAGCATGGTATCTTTATCTGCTAAACAGATGGAAGAGATTGCCTATGCCCTTAAAGCCGGAGACTTTAACTTCCTTTGGGTCGTGAGAGAGACCGAACGCAGCAAATTTCCCGAGACATTTATGGATTCAGTAGCAGGAAAGGGTCTGCTTGTGTCATGGTGTAATCAGCTGGAAATGCTGGCACACCCAGCCATCGGTTCCTTCGTCACACACTGTGGATGGAACTCAACGCTTGAAGGGTTGAGCCTCGGAGTGCCAATGGTGGCGATGCCTCAATGGTCTGACCAAATGACAGATGCTAAGTTCATAGAGGAGATATGGGGTGTCGGATTTAGAGCCAAGGAAGATGAATTTGGAATCGTAAGAAGAGAAGAGCTGCTATATTGCTTGAAACAAGTTATGGACGGCGAGAGAAGTCAGGAAATAAGAAAAAATGCCAACAAATGGAGGGAAATGGCAAAAGCGGCGGTTGGAGAACAGGGAAGCTCAGACCAGTCTATTGATGAATTTGTGCAACATTTGAAGGATGATGCTAATAGAAAAAAAGGGGGTAGAATGGCAGTTACAAGCATGTAGCAAAACGAAAACTGCCGAGGTTCTTGTCTAAAGTATCGTGTATCAATAAAATGTTCTGCACTCTGTATTCTACATCAATCTACTAGTATATCTAGGAGGCTGTTAATAAAGAAGTCAATGAAAGTTAATCCCTTTTCTTCAAGTACCAATTCAGTTTTGTCTTCCATTTTGACCTTTAGTTGCCATGTAGAACTACCTAACTGAAAATAATAAATGGTCCAAATTATGCAGCGCTATTAGCAAAGTTTTCTACATGCTTTAACATCTAATCATCTATCTTAACTGCTTCACACTGGCCTTATTATTGGTAGGGCCTTCCCAGAAACTACGTCAGTCATGCGCCTAATTTGATGGTGACAACTTAGACTAATATTTAGAGAACCCCACAATATTTTCCTAATAATATCCAATCATTTTGATTTTTGATTGCTGATTTTCCCTCTTGTCTGGCCCAACATGTGCCGTTTGTAGGTTAAACCTTTACCAAGTAATAGGTCACTAAAATATTCAATTAAGACCATTTTGCTCAGAAACATTTTACAACATAGCCTGTACATTCGGAACGGCTCACAACTAATTCAAGTGTAACAAAAAAAATGAGCAAGTAAGCAGCTAAAACCTCAGGGTCCTTCTCTATGCCAGGACTCCTTCAGAAATGGAAGCATCACTTCTGTTATTCCTGATACCTGCTTATAAAAAGATATGGGAAGCTGGAAAGTTAGAACTGCAGAATAAGCTCCACTTCTCATGTAGTTGAGGGCATAAGCATCAAGACTACAGGTAGTTAAACAGCATAATAGAACATTAGGTCAGAAAAGACTTAAGAACGATACCTCTTTTCTTAAGCTTGTTTCTAAAGCTCCTTTTCCTACTAAAGGCACTCTCCTGCAATTAGACCAGAAAATTTTCGATAAGCTTACATACAAGGAATGGCAAGGTAATAATTCTCTCATGAAAACAGAATAAATAATCAAACAGAATTTTGATGAATAATGCCACAAATTTAAAATAGTTTATTACAAAGAGACTTAGGACTACGATAAAATTCAGTACTCTAATGCAACTTGAAGTATTACCACAGGTTGACCCTGTCTTTCAGCTTGACGAATTGCAGCGACAAGGTCACGATTTGCTTTGTTATACATGCTTGTCACTAGGCCAGGTTGACCTGCTCTAGCTGTACGTCCGACTCTATGGAGGAAATCCACAGCAGATGTAGCAAATTCAGCCTAAATTAAAATCCAACAAATAGCATTAAACTTCAGAAAAGAATTAAATGGTATACAAATCACACAGCAGGAACATAAAAAGGGTCCAAAAAGTATTGAAATAGATGGTGACATAAGGCACACACAAATGGATTTTCTGATCCAAGCCACAGAAATATCACTACAGGGCAAAGGAAGCCCAGTTCATGTAGATGTATATGAGTAAGTCTGAAGTCTGAAGTCTACTAGCAGCTCAGTAAACCACGAGGAATCATTAACAATTTATCAAGGCCTTACTTCTGACTGTGAAAGGAGTTAAAGTACGACAAATAACGTTCTGAACCAAAATCCCAGATTCCTGATCCTTTAACAAAATTTCACAAACATCCTCATTCCATGAAACAAAGTTCTCTTTCTTCCAAACAATGCTGTTCTATAAGTGTTTGCTGATCGATATTTCATGTGAGAAGTTCAACCAAATGTACACATATCAGACAGAGAACCATGAGTACCTGAATAACATGTGAGACATTTGGAACATCCAAACCACGTGCTGCAGCATCAGTACACACAAACACACCACCTTTCTGCTGGAAATCTAATAAATTTTTTGTACGCTCATCAAGAGAGCTGTCACTATGATATCGAAAACATTCAACTCCTGCTCCTGTCAAAATGTTGGCAACAGCTTCAACAGCCTCAACAGTGTTGGCGAATATCATTGTACGAGTAACACCACGTGAGGAATTCAATGCGGACTTAAAGCCAAGATTTACAGCACTTATAAGAGCATCTACTTGTGAGTCAACTGTCACTTCAATCCATTTCTGCTCCAATCTAACACAAAAAAAAAAAAAAAAGGAATTACATGAGGAATATATACTTAGCTGGTCAATTAAAACTACATTAAGTGAATAACATGTTCAATAAAGCAGCAGATATTAATATTCCTATACTTTAGCTTCTACATACAGAAGTAAGCCAAGAATGTGGGATTTCAAAGTCCAATTGGAAGTCCTAATCTGTTGGCTATGCTAACTTCTTCATCCCCCCCCATCATGATAAACATACAGAAGCTGCTCTCTTATGATGGACAATGAATTGCGGTTTAAAGTACACACATAAAAAAGTCCACTTGTAGCATACTTACTGACAGTTTTACCCTCCCTAAATTCCTCTTCCTAAATGATAACCCAATTTAAAAAATTCCTAGAGAAAAATTGGTGACCATTCACACAAGTAGTCAAACTATAAAAGAATAGAACACACACACAAAAAAAGGATTACCATGCCGTAGAACAGGAAATGGAGGAGAAGGGGGGAGACCAAAACAAAAAAAAAAAAACAAAAAGATCTCAACTGCAACACAAAAGCAATGCACCTTGGGTTGTGGCGGTGGACATAATTTCCAGTGATCCAACTGGCATCAGGATATAAACGTTTCAATACTCCTCCAGCAGTAGCCTTTCCATTTACAGGAAGTGTGGCAGCAACAAAGATGTACTGCTTACTTCGCTTATATGTTTTCCTAACTCTCCTCCAATCTTTATTCTGTGCTGCAGGAGCTTGACTTTCTAGATTCTCAAGATCACCATCACTCTCAGAATCTTCATTGTTTTCTAAAAAAGCATCTGATTCCATCTCTTCATTATCATCTCTACTAGATTCTATGTCTGCAATATCATTTGAGGCTAGAGGGTTCTCATACTCTAAGCCATTCATTCGAGACAGCTGCTTTTCATCAAAACGAAGCATGTTTATAATACGAATTACTTGGTTCTGAAAGCTCCCACAAAGTAACATGTCTGCTTCATCAAAAACCTATATTTAATTCAAAGCAGTCAATAAGATCTTAATGATACTGCAGCTAATAATACACTTCACAAGAATGAAAGGAGGAATAACCTACAATGTATTTCACACCGCGTATGAAATTGGTCCGTCTGCGTTTCTCTGGGTCAATCGCATATAGGTAATTCAGAAGTGCAACTGGTGTTGAAACTATAATGTCAGGTTCAAGAACAGGCCAACCCTGCAGTAAAATTTTTATAAGTTAAAGCATGAATGCTGCATTAACAACACGAGATCCCTCCACATCTTCATACAATTCTACCTTCTTCCACTATAAAAACAAAGGGCCCTACTGCCAAAGTACTATATATATATATTCTTGTCCTATCCACATCTATTTTATTAAGAAAAAGCATACACACATATCAGTACCTGACGCCCACAAACGGCTGCTACACTAAGCAGCGGTTCACCATTTTCTTTAACCAAACAGTTAGCCATCCGGACAACTTGCTCACACAACATAACATTCGGACAGAGAACAAGGGATAGCTGATGGCGTTTGCCTCTCCCTCCATTGGAAGAATCTTCTTCCAAATTATCAGAAGCCTTACATAGCATATCAATCAACGGAACTAGATACCCATGGGTTTTTCCACTACCAGTCTCTGCAGCAACTACTGTGTCAACTCCGGAAAAGATACTTGGTATGCAAGCGGCCTAAAATTTAAAGGAAATTCTTAAGTAACCCATGATAATACACTATGTGATAAACAACTGCCACTTAAAATTTAAAAGCACCAAAAATAGATATATAAACCAAAAAAGTGAAAACATTCATCATTCCCCTGAAAAATATCAAATGAAAACCAAAAGGGTATGGCTGCACGTATTAACTGAAGTTAGTAAACCCAAAAAAAAAAGAAAAAAAGAAAAAAGAAAGCCAAATTAAGAACCTGAACCAACGAGGGTCTATGCAAACCAATCTTAGACAGAGCTCCAGAGACCAAATTTGACACACCAAGAGATGCCCAAGACACATTTTCAGCCGCAAAGAATGTATCTTTTGCATTACTATCATCAGAATCAACGGCGGTAGCTGAAGCTGCGGTTCCAAATGCTCTAATTTTAGAGCTTCGTGTGTGAATAGTGGTACTAGATAAGGCGCATATTACTAAAGACGAATGCCTTTTAGGCAAGATGCAACTGGGTCCAGCATATGAGAATCTGGATACACTACTAAGCATTGAATTCGCAATTGAACGCTGCAAAATCATCAAAGCTCCCAACTTTTATCTCACCTTCTTAGTTTTTCTTTTCTTTTTCTGGGTTGTTCAGAGTGATATGAATTGAATCAGTTTTATCCCTGCGGGTGGAATGGGCGATTGGGTCTAAACCTCCGGGGGTTTTTGATATTCACCCTAAACTGTTTTTCTGATATACGCAAGCCTGTTTCGGACGGTAGACAGTAAAAATTATCATGACGTGTCATCAGCCGATTCGCTGTGGAACGAAAAAGGTCCACATATTTGGCTCTCCCGGTTACATCTTTTTACGTTGTTTCGGGGAAAAAAAGAAAAAAAAAAAAAACCAAAGTATAGCAGACTCTCATCATTTGGTAGCTGAATTTTGTCAAGTTGGTGGTGTTCATATCTTTTGGAGAACTTTGGGTATTGTTTTAAAGGAGGATTATATGGTAAGAGAAAATGGCAGAAACAAGAATGTAGAAAGAAAGCTTCAACAAATTAAGAGTAGATGAACTATTTCATTCAGATCTTCACAGCAAATGTATCAGGTGCCAAATTTGAGGCTATCATCCTAAAAGTACTTACATTAGACACCCGCGATCTTTTCTTAACAAATAACAATATCAATCCAATCATTTTGAGTGTTGATTATCCCTCTTGTTCTTGCTCAATACATGCAATTCATAGGTCAAAACTTCGCCATGTTAGTCTCAAAAACTAACATTAAATTCAGTGCATCCAGTTTTGCTTAGTAACACCTTTTGAGCATAGCCTGTACATCGGGAACATCTGACGTCTAATTCATAAGTCTAAAGAATGAGAGTGTAAGCAACTAAAACCTAGCCTAGATGCTGGAACTCTTTCAGTAAAGGAAACGTCAACTTTTGTTATGTCTGATACCTGCTCATAAGAGAGAATGGGAAAAATGCTGTTAGAACTGCAGAATAAGCTCCATTTTTTAAGTAGTTGCAGGTAGAAGAAATGCAAATAAGCGCCATGCTCGGTACATCATTAGATCTAAAAATGAAAAGCATCGCACCTCTTATTTTTAAGCTTGTTTTTCAAGTAGCTTTTCGGTGCCGTAGCCTCGCGAGGCGGGGAGCCTTTTGGCACAGGGGATTTATTATGGATTATGTTTCTAAAGTTCCTTTTCCTGATAACAACATTCTCCTGCAATTAGATCAGAAATTTTTTGAGAAGTTTAGGAAAGGTACAAGGTAGAAAACTAGAAATCAACAATTTTTAACAAATGATTCACTCAGATAACCGAAACCCCAAAGACAACAATATTCAAACAGAATTTAGATGAGCCCAGTATATGCAGTTAGAATGCCACAATGTCTTCCAACAGCTGAACAATATTTAGTACAAAGAGACTGATCTTTCGGTTGGAATATAAAAACAAACAAAGCCCCCAAAAATAATAATAATAATAATAAAATAATACGGAGTAATTTAAAGGAGATAGTAATAATCAGTACTCCAAGGAAGTATTACCTCAGGTTGAGCCTGTCTTTCAGTAAGGGAACAATGCCAAGGAAGTATTACCACAGGTTCACCCAGTCTTTCGGCTTGACGAATTGCAGTGACAAGGTCAAGATTTACTTCTTTATACATGTTTGTCACCAAGCCAGGCTGACCAGCTCTCGCTGTACGACCAACTCTATGGAGGAAATCCACCGCAGATTTAGAAAATTCAGCCTGATGTCAGAATCAAACAAGTAGTATTGATCTCCAGAAAAGAATAATACAGTAAGATAAAAATAAGCAACAGGGACCAAAGAAGGAAACAGAAGCTCCAGAAAGTATTAAAATAATGGTAATATAAGGCACGATATCTCCCCAGGCATCACCGAGAAATAAGGAAATTTCTCTTTCTTCTTGTATACTCTGCCCTCGTTATGTTTGCTTGACTGAAGAGTATAGATATCCTATATGCAGAGCTTCAAAACAAAGAAAGTCAAACAGAAAAGCAGGAGTACCTGAATAACATGTGAAACATTAGGAATGTCCAGACCATGAGCAGCAGCATCGGTACACACAAAAACACCACCATTCTGCTGGAAATCAAATACGTTCTTTGAACGCTCATCTAGAGGGATGTCACTGTGATATCGAAAACATTCAATTCCAGCTCCTGTCAAAATGTCAGCTACAGCTTCAACAGCCACAACAGTGTTGGAAAATATCATTGTACGACTAACAGGAGACGACGGAGCCAATGCGCAATTGATTCCATAATTGACAGCACTAATGAGGGCATCTGCTTGTGAGTCAACAGTCACTTCGATCCAGTTTTGCTCCAATCTAAATCAAAAGAGCAAATGTATAAGGAATAAATATATATTGTCAACTAAAACTCCACATGCAGAACATATTTGAAAACGCGGCTAACACGACTATTCTTGTACTTTGGATGCCAATAATGCTGGAGTTTAAATTCCTGCTCAAAGTTCTAAATTATGGTGTAGGCTAGCTTCTTTCATCTTCCTCACCATATTTAGTAGAAAATTGACAAGCTTCTCTTCCACAATGAAAAGGTATTCTAATTAATCCCTTCACGACCGCCCAAAAGTAACTTAATTGAAGCATGCTTTCTGATGTTTTCACCCTTCTTTTGTTATTCTTCCTAAATCGTACCCAATATCAACAATTCAATTTCCCGGAGTCACATTAGTGACCATTTGCAGATTTGCGAGCTGTATGAACAAAGAACACTGAAATATGCAAACATTGGTGAACCACAGAACAGCAGACATAGACAGAGTATCTATTGCAAGTACACCCTCGCATTTACACCAATCAGGGTTTTACCTTGGGTTGGGGCGGTGGAAATAATTTCCAGCTACCCAACTGGCTTCTGGATACAAGCGTTTCAATAATCCTCCAGCAGTTGCCTTCCGATTTGCAGGAAGTGCGGCTGCAACAAAGATCGCTTACTCCGATTATATGTTTTCTTAACCCTCCTTGCATCATTCTTGTTGTCTTTGTTTTCTGAAAATGCATCTGTTTCCATGTCTTCATTATCTTCTCCACTAGATTCCATGTCAGCTATACGGTTCTCAAGCTTTAAGCCCTTCATTCGCGGCGGCTGCTTTTCATCAAAACCAAGCATGTTTATAATACGAGTAACTTGGTTCTGAAAGCTCCCACAGAATAACAAGTCTGCTTCATCAAAAACCTAAATTTTATTCAAACGAATCAATAAGATCTTCAAGATACAGAAGACAATATCATACCACACAGTCATAAAAGGGAGGAGAACCTACGATGTACTCCACACCACGTATGAAATTTGAGTGTCTTTCTTTCTCAGCATCAATTGCATCAAGGTGCCTCAGAAGTGGATCTGGTGTCGAAACTACAATGTGGGGTTCAAGTACTGGCCATCCCTGCAGTCAAATTCTCATACATTAAAGCATGATCGTCAGATTGATGACATGGTAACAAGTCATCCACTTATTAAAAGTAGGAGCCCCAGGCTAAAATACTAGATATTCTTGTCCTATACAAATCAAGTCTATCAAGGAGAACAATGGGAAAAAAATCAGTACCTGCCGCCCACTAACAACGGCTACACTAAGCAGCGGTTCACCATTTTCTTTAAGTAAGCAGTTAGCCATACGGACGACTTGCTCACATAAAATGACATTTGGACAAAGAACAAGTGATAAATGACGATGTTTCCCTGGTCCTCGTTTAGATGAAATTTCTTTCGAGTTTTCAGAAGCCTTGCATAGCATATCAATCAACGGAACTAAATATCCATGGGTTTTCCCACTACCGGTCTCTGCAGCAACTATTGTGTCAGCACCTGAAAAGATACTCGGAATGCAAGCGGCCTAAAGTTTCAGAAACTCCGTAAGTATCCCAAGATAATACAATACTACATGTAATAAAATGAAGTAAGCAGTTGCCAATAAACTCTTGATAGCTCCAAACATAGATACATAAGCAAAATATTCGACAAAGAGACAAAGGATTATTATATATAAACCCAAGAAACTAAAAACTGCCAAGAGTGTAATCCTTCTAATCTTCACTCAATTTTAGCATTCCACAGAAAAACTTTGATCAGGAAGTACATACAACATAAAGAACGAACTTTTTCACAGGAAGTACAAACTAAACAAAGATAGTAAACCAGAAAACGAAGAATTCACCAAAAACAAGTACCTGAACCAAGGAGGGTCTCTGCAAGCCAATCTTGGACAGTGCTCCAGCGACCAAGTTTGAAACACCAAGAGATGCCCACGTCACATTTTCAGCAGCAAAGAATGTATCTTTTACCTTACTGTCATCCGCCTCAACGACGGTGGCTGTAGCGGCGGTTCCAAATGCTCTTATTTTAGAGCTCCATTTGCTACAAGATAATGCGCATACTACTAACGAAGGATGCCTTAAAGGCCAGAAGCAATTGGGGCCAGCATCTGACAATCTACATATTCTACTAAACATCAAATTTGCCATTGAACGCCGCAAAAGCATCAAAGCTCCAAACTTTTTCTCAATTCAGAGTAATTTGATGGATTTTATTTCCCCCCTTATTGAAAATCAGGGTTTTTGCAGGGTTTTTGCAGGAGGGACAACTTCAACTCTTCAGTCTTCAAGGCATAAAGGCGTGGACAAATTACGCTTTTAGCCTCTCAAACTGAACAAAAACGGTTAAAAATACGTCTTCTTCTGGCTTATTCTACTGACTGTAGAACATAGGAAAAAACGGCAGAACAGTAAAAAAGAAACAGAAATGGCGCCAAGGAAGACTACCAGGAAGAAGACGAAATCTCCACCGTCTGATCCTCAAGGAATGTTCTCCGGAATGGTGGTTTATTTAATCGATACAGGAGTTCAAGCTCGCCGGTTAGAGGTCTCTTGCAACCCCATTATTTACTCCTTTTTCCCCTCTGGAAAAGACTCCTTTTTGAAATTAACTTCGATATTTTCTTTCTTTTTTTAATTAATATATATATATAATTGGGTGGTCCGTTTTTCTGTAGATTTGGAAGCATAGATTAGAGCAGATGGGGGCAATTCTGGATGATAGTTTCTCGAAGAAGGTTACTCATGTATTTTCCATGGATTTCAGTTCACTGCTTCAGAAGATTGATCTTGAAAGCTTACCCCGTTCAACAACTGTGAGTAAAATCATTCTATTATAGTACTATATGATGCTTTAATTGAAAAATTGGTACCTTTTTTTTTACTCTTTCCAATTCAGTGTGTTGTTTGATCGTAGCTCAAAATTTTATGACTTATTGATTATGCTTTTTCTTCCCTTCTTGACCTTGTGAGGTTATATTTTTGTTTTTGTTCCCATATGTGATTTTGATACACTTTGTAGTGTAATGGTTATGACAGTGAAATTAGCCTTTTGTTTTTCCTCATTTTTCTCTAGTTTGGTTTCTTAGCTGTTTGCTGCTGTAAAATTTTCCAGAAAGTTCTCTCCTATCAGTGGCTGGAAGACAGCTTGAGAGAAGGACAAAAGGTACCTGAAGAATCATATATTCTGTCTTTGGATGCTGGAGGCGGTGGTGAACAGGTTAGCAACATTGCTGAACAGACTTCCACTAAGCCTTTGGATGATGATACTTCTGGCGCTGATGAAGTGGAACGACAAAAAAGGGCAAAACTTTCAGCGCAGGAGTCCAATAATGCACAGCTGAGGAATGGAGTTAAGACAATACAGAAGGATGGATCGGATTCACCACATAGTGTCAGTGGCTCTGAAAGCTCAATAAATACTTTAAGTCCAGACACTGCTAGCCCATACCTTGATGATCAAAAGAAGACAGTAACTGTAAGTTCCATATTTGGCATTCCCCTTTCTTTCTAAGGGTTGCAACTTTGTGAAGATGTAGCGCAGTCAAAGTTTCTTTTTGTCCGATGTTAATTTGAGTTCTTGTACTATCGCTTGTCAGGATGTAAGCTCAGGTGGTTCCTTGCTTTACAACCCTCCTGATTTAAATAGGAACATCACCGAGATATTTGGGAAGCTTATCAACATATATAGAGGTGAAACTTTTTGGATGATATTTCTGAGTAAATTATGCCTTTTGGTAGAGGTCCTCTTAGATGTTTTGCTTTTATCGTGGTAGCCCTTGGTGACGACCGGAGGTCATTTAGCTATTATAAAGCAATTCCGGTGATTGAAAAGCTTCCCTTCAAAATTGAGAGTGTTGAGCAGGTGAAACACTTGCCTGCTATTGGCAAGTCAATGCAGGATCATGTGAGTAAAATATTTATCTGGAAATGCAGAGACGTGATCTTTTCTCTCTTCCTTTTTTTTTTTTTCCTTCCTTTTTTACCACTTTTTGTATCATTCCTGCAGTAGATTTGTCTTTTTCAGTAGCCTTTCTGTTTGTATGTTCTCAGTCTATGTGAGTATGGACATATGTAAATTTTTTCTTTTTTTTTTTCCTTTGTTTGGGGGGGGGGGGAAGATCTTGAATGCTATATTCCAAGTGTTAAGAATGCAAATGCTTCCTTATTTATTCTTTTATCGCCAAAATATCATGTGCTAGATAAGTCGAAGAGTGGGAAAATGTATCACGACATTTGTCCCTTCTTATGTTGTGAAAAGGGGATTATGATGTCTAATTGCAGATTCAGGAGATAGTGACCACTGGAAAGCTGTCAAAGTTGGAGCACTTTGAGACTGATGAGAAGGTATCATAAAGTCTTTTCTACTGGTCAATACCCAATAGACATATTTTTATGATTCATATTAGTGTCTAGTCATGTAACAAGTGTTACTCTTACTATCTCTGGAATTAGTTGTGAGAAATGGATATTAATAATGAGAAATTAACATCAAATTAATAGCTTTGAATTTATTATGCGATGGTCTTTTAGGATTGTAAGTGTAATATTCTTATTTTACTATGCGATGGTCTTTTAGGATTGTAAGTGTAATATTCTTATTTTCTAATTATCTGCAATGTAATAGATAGATAATCCACGTAAATTATCTGTAATTGTTTGAATCCAACTATTATATTTTTGCAAAAATGATGATCATGCAGATCAAGCAGAAATCTGTCAGATACAGCTGTTGCCATTGAGTTTCTCAATGCTTCTTTCTCCTAAGTGTGCAGGTTAAGACAATTAGTTTGTTTGGAGAAGTGTGGGGCATTGGTCCAGCCACTGCGTTGAAGCTCTATGACAAAGGACACCGGACTTTGGACGACCTAAAAAATGAAGAATCATTGACACATGCACAAAGAGTGGGATTAGAGTACTTTGATGATATCAATACAAGGATTCCACGGCAAGAGGCAAGTAGTCCCTTTAACACCCCACTTTACTCTTTTGTGGTTATGTGACTTCTAAATCATGTTTGAGACACATGAGGCTATTCCGATCCTGCAGGTTGTAGAGATGGAACGTCTACTTATAAAAGCTGGAGAAGACATTTTGCCAGGGGTAAGATTTAAATCCAATTATTTTTGCCCCTTGTATAATGAACCAACTTCCTAAATTTTCTAGATCTTTGTTTCACTTGTTTGATAATTTTTGCTGTTTTTATTGTCGATGATGATTCAGAAATTAGGGTTGGATTGCAGTTTTTTGTGCTATTATTTGGTTTTGTTTCTCATTTACTCACTCTAAGCTTGAATTTATAGGTTGGCATTGTTTGCGGAGGATCATATAGGCGGGGAAAGTCGTCTTGTGGGGATTTAGATGTTGTAATTACTCATCCTGATGGCAAAAGGTGTTTCTCTACCATGTTCTCTCTCTTTGTCAATTCCCATCTCCCTTTGGTTTGCCCAAGAAATCTGGAAACAAAACAAAAGAATATAGTAGGAGTTATATCGTGGTGAAAACAAGCATGCCGGGGATAAATTCTGAGGATTATCTCATAAGCAAGTATCATAACATCAGTATAAAATGTTCTGATTCTCTTTTCATGGTTGCAATTTCTTGAAAGCAAATAATTGTTCCTTTTTGTTTCAGTCATGTAGGTTTTCTCTCAAAGTATGTGAAGCTTCTAAAGGAGATGAAGTTCTTGAGGGAGGATTTGATCTTCAGTGTTCACAGTGAAGAGGTCTCTCAAACAAGGCACTTTTGCTTATAGTCATCTATTAGGGTAGATTTACTATGCACTTTATTGCTGTACTGATGATAGGATTGCTTAAAACACTTCTGCGAAAAATTAGAAAATGGCTTGTCATTGTTTTCTTAGAATCCTTTTGATTGGTTTCTGTTTTTAAGATCTTCATTAATTGTTATTTCCATTTGTACAGGGCACCGATTCAGGGGTAGACACTTATTTTGGCCTTTGCACTTCTCCTGGACAGGAATTGAGACATCGTATAGATTTTAAGGTACCTTGGTCTTCAGTCGATCTTCAACTGAAGTTCAATCTTTCTTTTCAACATTGTATATCTTGGAAAATTTCTGAGGTGCCCTTCTGTTAATTCAGATCTTACCCTCCCAAGAGGTGGAAATAGAATATGTCTGTTTTGGAGCATCCCTTAATTGATGTTTATTTCTTTATGTCTCACATGATCCCAGTCATTTTGGATAAGTATATTCTTTTTTAAGAGGTGGCAGTCCTGTTATGCTTTAGGAAGATACACGTTGAGCTTAATGTTTGTCATCAACTCAACAGTTTAAGCCCTCAGCAGCACCTGTCAGATGCCATTATGACTGTCAAGTTTACAGTAAAAAAGAAAATGATTGGAGTTATGCACATAGCCTTGTAATTATAGTGGCCTTTGTTTTCTGAATGTTACCTCAACTGGTGCTTTCCTAGGTGTATCCAAGGGATATATATGCATTTGGCCTGATAGCTTGGACAGGAAATGATGTCCTAAATAGAAGGTTTGTTCCTTGTTAACGCAACTTTTCTTGTCAGTACACTTTTCATTTTAAGTGAAAGAGGGACTGACTATACACGAGGTACTTTAATGGATGCTGATGTTCATCAAGTGGCCTTGTTAGAGGCAGAAAATGTCATTGGCATCCTTACAATTTGTTTCCTTCTTCTTAGTAATCTTTTTTCCTGTCTTTCTTTGTATTAAAATGCAATGCAAGCTTGACTTGTACTACTGCAGGTTGAGACTCCTAGCAGAATCCAAGGGCTTCCGGTTGGATGATACGGGGTTGTTTCCTGCCACCCATGGCTCTGGTGGTAAACGGGTATGAACTATGTGAATACAGGTCTCTGCTGCTGCATCACTCACCTTGTTTCCTTCAACTTATCTTGGCTTTCTATGTGTTATCCAGGGCAAAGGTAGTGCAAGTCTGAAATTTCAAACAGAAAAAGAGGTCTTTGATTTCCTTGGCTTTCCTTGGCTTGAACCACATGAAAGGAATCTATGAAAAACAGTTAGCTGTGCAAAAGCCCTTTTGGTTGAGCCGGTGGACTCAGTATACTATGAAATGCACTTGGCAATTGGCACCCTAGACTCTGTATGAAATGCATATATCTGGAGCAAGATCCACCCAGAAAGTTTTGCATAGAAGCGAAGACCTTAAGTTAGATGAAGACAATGTAAGTTAGATGAAGACAATGCCGTTCGAGTTTGAGTACCCAGTCATGAGCTCTTTTAGGAATTTGCTCAGGTTGTGTGTAGATGTAAATAAGAACAGGTGTATGTAAGTTCTTAGGGATCTTTCCCTCCTGGAAATGTTGTAAGTTGTAACATGTATCAGTTGTGCATTGGTTTCCCTTCTCTGATCACCCTTCTCCTCTGGGTTTCTTGGTCACGTGCAAAAATCTCTCCAAATACCCCTCCTAAGAGGAGTGAATTCCAGCCAAAAAATCTACATTGATCCGGCTTGAAGCCGAATTGTATAGATATGCAAGAATAGATTGATGATGATATAATGAAGATGAGAAAATCCATGGAGCATTACGATCTCCTTGTTAAACAAATTAGACGCAGAACAGAGCTGAATGCAGATTGCAATTCCATAGAATAACACCAGACGTAATAGAAACTTGCAAAATAAGAGAGAGATACACACTAGATTCACAACCCGGCTGATACCAGTCCATGCAATGTTACAATACCAATCAAGAGGTTATCGTTATCGACAACAGGTAAGAACTGCACCGGAGTTGGTGGAGATTCCATCTTCTTCATTGCTTCAACTACCATTGCATTAGGACCTATTGTCCTCGGTTGTCTGAACATGTTAGAAGGCATTTTCCTCCGTTCGACCCCCACTCTCAACTGTATTTAGCCCTCAAATTTGCACAAAAACTTGGATATGCCACCGATTATCTAGTTTGACACAAGCTTGCTCATCTTTGTTTACGCCCTCTTAGGTGAGGACTGAGCCCAAGTCTCAATCATTATAACAGCAAATCATACAGGAATACAAACAAATAGTACATTAAAGTCGGGGAAGTTGAAATTTATATGATTCACATTGACTTAACCTCGAAAAAGAAACAACAGTGGTATAAACTTTGTCACTAACTTCCTTGAAAATGCTGTACAGGGAAGGATTACTGTTCGTAGACTCTAAAGAAACCGTATACAATAGACTGTTCAGATTAGTAAATTGTTTACCTCCCAAGTTGCAAGCATGAAATTACATAAAATGGAATGGATAATGGTGAAATCGAAGCAACTCTAACTAAATATGCTTCAGCTGTAAATTACATATGAAAAACATTCAAATGTAACTGTTTAAAACTTTTTTGACAGCTTAGAAATCATTGCAATCCAACTGTGGACTTCAAGGATTCTTCATTTTCAAGAGCAACTGAACATAAATTTACAATTTATCTATAGAGAAGCTGAACTTGAGTACCTGTTGCACATTTCTCCCACAGTGAGCTTGGAGATTCTTTCCCCACTAGATTGAATAGTTCGCCTTAGATCGCCATCAGTGAAAGTGCCAAGCAAACGGAAGTCATCATCAACAACAAGGAGGCAACCACATCCCTTACTAGTTACCTCTACCAGTTGATCCACAATCAGATGCCCTTCCTTGCAGACAGGAAGTTCTTCTTTCTTCTTCATAAGATGCTCCACCTGAAAAAAACAGGACCCATTTATCCAAACCACAAGTAAAACACCCATCCTAATAATCCTACACAGAAAGTAAAAAGAAAACAACAAACCAAATCAATGTAAAGTGGTTCTCATCAGTTATCATTTTCCATACCTTAAAAATCAAGCTTTTCCCAATCCTTCCAGCAGGATGATTAGCTGCATACATTTCTCTGCTAAAATTCCTACCCTGTGTCAATGCAGTTGCCACTGTATCCCCAAAAATAATCTGAATTGCCGTGGACGTCACTGGCGCCAAACCAAACCGGCACAATTCACTCTACAGCGGCAAATTCACTTTAAGGTCAGACAAACCCATCAATACATTGGGCTCCAATGAGGTCAGAGACACCAAATAAGCCCCTTTAGCCTTGGCACAAGGCACCAACTTTACTAACTCCTCCGAATTCCCACTCTTTCTTAAACATAACCAAAACATCGCCACACGAAAGAATGCCAATGTCACCGTGCAGTGCATCCACAGGTGATAAAAACTCGGACTTTATCCCGATAGAAATCCTGGTTTTGGAAATCTTTTGAGCTGCGATGCCGGATTTTCCGACACCCGTGAAAAAGATTGTGCCTTTGCATCTCTGGAGGGTTTGAGTCAACAAAAAAGTTTGTGAAGAATCGAGGTTTTCGAAGAAATAGTTGAGGTATCTCTGTTGTGTCCTGAAAAGGTCCATTACATCCTCTGGGTTGATCAAATCGTTGTGGGCATTGCTGCAATAGGGATCGGAAAATTGTAGTGGCTTGAGGGAACCCATCTTTCTTCTGTTGGGAGAAAGTGTTCTTTACAGAGGAAAGGAATAGGAATACATGAGGGAAGAAACCAATCCTGTTCCTCCGAATGAATACAATACATTGAAACTAAAAAAAGGAATTTTGATTCGGTGCGCATTATTCGGCACTTCACAGTAGCCTATAAGAGGGGTTCATCAACAGGCCTTTTTTTTTTCCTTCAAATTATCTTGGCTTTCTATTCTATTTCCGTCTTATCCAAGGTAAATGCAGCGTAAAACTGAAACTTCAAACCAAAAAAGAGGTCTTTGATTTCCTTGGCTTGAACCACTTGAAAGGAATCTACGAAAAAAGTTGGCCCTGAGAAAAAGGTTTTTCAGATGAGCCTGTGATTCTCAATTTATTCAGCAAGAGATATATACTTGGTAATTAGCATCCTAGCCTCTGTATGAAATGCATAATTCTGGAGCGAGCAAGAACCACCCAGAAAGTTTTGTTCTGAAGCTATAAGACATTAAGTCAGACGAAGGCAATGTCGATAGATTTTGATTAGAAGCTTTGTTCAGGTTTTGTGTGCATGTAAATAAGAAGAGAGGTAAATTCCAGGAAAAAGAACTACATATATAGATCCGGCTTCATTATTCAAGCTGAATTGTATTGCATGGATAGATTGACGATATAATGAAGCCGAAAAGATCCATGGAGCATGATGATTGCCTTGTTAAACAAATTAGACGTAAAACAGAGCTGAATGCAGATTGTGTTCCATAGATTTAACACCAAACGTAATAAAATTTGCAAAAGAGAACAAAGAGCTACAAAATATAGACGTTCTAGCCAGAACCCTATCTCAGGTATTCCCAATTTCTTCCCCCTAGCTGCTCCTGAATCTCCTCATTTTGCCGCCCAGCCTGAGATGATTATTGGTCGCCATGGAAACTGTGGGGAGTGTTCTTGAGATTAAAAAAAAAAAAAAACCATTGAAACGCTGCTATGGATGATGATTGTCAGCTCCGACGGGGTTATCATCGACATTGTGGATTCTTTTTGTGAAGAATTCCTTCCGTATGAACTTTATTAGTTTTATGGAGACAAGAACCAAAACATAAAGCATCCCCACAAGTATAAGCACGGAAATGGCCAACTGAATTAGAAAAGAAAGCCATCGAAACAGGTCCCTCAAGATCATTCTGGGTCTGGTTGGTTTTTATGGTAAAAGGGAATGCCCGAAGGAAAAGGAGGAAGAAAGATCTCTTTGACCCTAGAGAAAAAAATCTTTGTTATAGATGATAGAGTAGGGGAGTTCAGTTAGTACGAAAACTTAACACAAGCCCTGATATTCTTCTGTCACGTTTTTCTTTTGGTTGGTCCAACAAGGCAAAAAGAAAAAAGTTCCTTTCTTATTTTTGGATAACATTTGCCATATTTAGCAAACTCCAACAAGTTTTTGTTGTTAGCTAGGATATGAGTTTTGTATTTCAAATTCACACAGAAACCATTGGACAATGCATGCGGAAATTTTGAGAGCAATAAACGCTCAGAAATCAGTAATCACTACTTATATATGAAGCTCATTAAAGAAAGGATCATAGCAGTCTAGCTGATTCAGTCTGGATCCTATCACTGAATACATGTACTCGCCCTATGACAAGGTGTTTTTCATTCTATAGCTATAGCCGTGGCATGTTAGTGATGAACAAAACTGTAAAAAGTCTGTAACACGAGAAATGCCGTACTTGCCTTCTTGATAAACCACCCCAACTGAGTTGTTCACAGCTGGTTAGCATTTGACAGTTTGAAGAGACTCAAAAGTCTGATTCGCTCTTGTCTATATGTTCTTCCCAATCTACAAAACGTTCCAGTAGCTCTTTCTCCTTGATAACTAAGCAAGTAGAACTCTTACCAAACCACTTGTAGCGATGCTTTGCCACGTAGTCATAGACAGCATCTCTCAATGGAGAGGGAACAATCATGAGAGAGCTTAATGTGTAATAGGGGAATGGTAAGTAGGACATGACTCTCAGTGCAGCTGCAGAACAAGAAGAAATTTACAGTTACATTATGAAGGATACATCCCCAAACACCTCACCATAATAACTCATTTGTAAGTTTCATTAGCTACTGCCACAGTATATTCTGAAGAGGAAGGAAACAAACAAGACGAAAATTTCTGCATATCCATTTGACCAGCAAGCATCCACTCTTAATCCTACATTATTCTTAGAGCTACCTTGGTTCTTGTTTCAAATTCTTACGTCGCCTCTTTTAATCATGATTGAAAATGAGAAAAGATAACAGATACAGCAAATCTTTCACAACTTTGCAGTTAAGGGAGCTAAACTAAAACAACACACCGTACAAGATGAACTAGAACTAGTGGAAGAAAGCTTTCTTGAACAAGAAGCAGGAAATATTGAATTGAAATCAGTTTCTAGTTCCACACAAAAGGCTTTCACCTAGGAAAAGATGCATTTGTGGTATGAGTGACTGATTAAACATGACTATTCTTTGGTTTAGATTTTAGATCATGAAATGTTAGACAATTTAAGTACAAATACCAACATTCAACTAAGTGAAGCAAAGTTACTTTTCTCCATAATTTCTTAGCCTAAAAGATTGAAATGGTTACTACAAGTTTATGTAGCTTCATTTAGACTGCAAAGCTGATCCACCAGTATACGGTAAGTACAGATAAAATCCTCAATTATGGATTCCCATAAGCAACAACAGAAAATTGTTCACCCAAAGTTCATTCTAACTAATAGAGCAACCACACTTATCTACACTGTAAAGCAAAATTCAAAAGCGCATTCAGAACAAAACCTCAAATCAACAGAATGTGCCAGAAAGATATTCAAAATGTTTACCAGCAGAGCCTTGGTGGTAAGCACCAGGGCCTTCAACAAACAAGAAACGGCGTAGAACATCCCCTCTATCAACTCCGGCTACGTTCAAGTAAGGTTCGGCTGCTTTAGATTGTAGACAACAGAAATTGATCTTTTTGTCCTTGTCAGCTTCAATCACCCACTTCACCCCTTTGATTAGATCACCACAACAACACAAATTCACCATTCAAGCTCTCTAGCAAATAAAGCAAGAATAACCCTCTCTTTTTTCTCTCTCAACAAAAATAAATAAATAAATAAATAAAAGAGAGAAAAGCTAAAGAATGACTACCGATAGACACTTTCAACAAAATCGTACTGAAAAACAGGAAATTCAATTTCAGCTAAATGTTGAAAACACTTGCTACCATCTCATCAGCAACCAGTGAATAGTAACTAACCAGAAATCCCTAAATTCAATTTCTACAATATTTTCGATTATCACATAACAACCAGAGAGTAAATTCTATGTTCGTCACTATAAAGAATATGAAAGTAGTTGTACTCCAATTAATTTTTCCACAAAAATATGTCAAAAACATTCCGTACCATTGTGGCAGAGATGGCAAACGCCGTCGTAAACAACCACACGAGGCCTCAGAAGAGTGGGCTCCAGCTCCACCTTTGCAGCGTCCAACAGCGAATCATCAGTCACCAGTGCGTCAGCGGCGAGCACACAAGACAACGGCCGGGAAGACAAAGATGACGGCGACGACGGTTCCGACGAGAATTCAGCGGCGTGGCGTCGGAGAATCGAAGACACTGAATCAAAATTCCCTCCAAATGCTCTCAGTTTCCCCAACCCGCCTCTTCTAAGCATCAGCGCCGTCGTCATTTCTAGCTCTCTACCTCGCTTTCCACACACAGTCACACACAATACGAGTTTTTTTTTCTCGATTTTGATGCTCAATTTTTGAATTTCGTTTTTTCCTTCCTGTTTTAATTTTGATGATTCCTTGGGCTCCAAGTCGGTTTATATTCACTTTCGGCTCTTTTCAAAACTACTGAGGAGCTCGCCAATTTAGTCGTTATAGTTTTTGCCCTCTCCAAACTGACGCCGTCAAAAGAAGTTTTATTTTTCACTTGTTTGGCCCTTAAAGTTCTATCTAATTTCACTTTAGTGCCTAAAATTTCTTAATTTGAAACATTCAGTCCATCAGTTTTTCTGCTCCAAATTCAAAAAGCTTGCCAAGTATCCATTTTTTGCAAAATTCGGTCCCTCATTTTTGAATTGTCTTGGTTTGCCTGCGTTATATTGCAGTTTTGACAATACAGCATCCAAGAATGTACAAATCGAGCTATATCCTAGGGCTTGTCGATGTTTCTGTTGTTCAATCTTCAATACAACTCTTCATATTTCAAAGTAGTAGTATTATTTTACCTCATACACGCATAGAAAAAAAAAAAATTAAATTAAAAGTTAGACCACAAAAAATGGTGTACAAGAAAATTGTTTACCTGCCACTACCCACACTAGATTCTCATGTACAAATTCTCTCTGAATATACCATTTATGGGTATAGCAAGATGATCTAACCTCAGACGTACAAGTCATAATAACCAAGAAAGCTCATCTTCTTCATCTAATTAGCAAAAAAGATTATATATCTGCATACTTCTACATCCCAAACATAAAGCAGTTTGAATAGCACGGAAGCAATAAAGCACTGTCCTTTATTGGCAGAGGATGCCTAAAGGGGTTTAACTGGATCTGCACCAAAAAATAGCAGGAGTTTCAGACAATCTAAGTTAAAACGAGAGACAAATCAATGCTCAAGAGTCAAAGAGTGGAGAGGGGGAGGGTGTGAATCTACGCACAGGAATAGCAGGAGAAGATCCAGTGATGCTGTTTATGCAATTAACTGCCAGACAGGAAGCTTCTTCACAAAAATCAGAAAAAACAGCTGGAACTTGCATCTCCTTTAAAAGCTCCTGCAGTTTTATATAATACTCAGCAAGCAAGATAACGAAGAGTAAAAGGGAAGAACCAACACTCTATGTCTAGTGATGGCTTACAATAGTTGGTAACCAGCTTCTGTAGGCAGCAACACCCGCATTTGGGGCTACAATTAAATCAGGAGAAGATTGCTGCCAGTAAAAATCACCAATCAGAATCTAGCACAGGGTGGAATGCAATAAATACATTTAGCTCACAGTAATGGAAATGAAACCTTGAACAAATCTGTATGGACATCGTGGTAATAACCCGCATGAAGCTGTATTGTAACTTTAGAAGATCTATTCAGCGATTGGAGAGTGCAATCACCAGATGACTTGCATTCACAGTCAGTCTGCGTGCACTTCGCATAACTGAAAAGATCAATACACTCGCCATCCCTAATTAAGAAATTGCAGAGTGACATCAGTTGACTGGAGAACATACTGAGGTCAGTTAGGCGGAAAGCTAAGAAGCAACAGCTTGAATAAACCAACAGATTCAGAGCTAAGAAAAAGTTTTCATGTTCCTGATATGACTTGAACAGGAAAGGGTCCAACCGCAAGAACATTGGTTCAGATTTCAGATTACACCACTTAAACAAGACCTTCTGACAATGAGAAAACTAATGCTGTACAATGTGACACCAGCTTAAATAATAAGCTATAGCCCTATCAAACCTATGGCATGTGGCACTCATCATCAACCCACTCTATTGCCAGGCAGTTATATATCATGATGCGAGTAAATTACAAACATCAACAGCGGAGTCATGGTTAGCAAAAGCATAATAACACCCAATACATCGAAGACTACTTCCACTGAAGAATATAATAAAACAACATTCACTACAATGTTAGCTGACCTTTCTTGAGGAATTTCAGGCCCCACGAAACATATATGCACGTCCACTCCAGGAAAAAGGGCATATAATTCACCAAATGCGGCAAGTTGATGTAACTCTTTCTCTGGCCCTGTAAAATCGCATTAAACAAAAGTAACATTCAGGAACCTGGGATGAGCTTATAGCAAGAAAGAGGACACTGAAACAACATGGCAATGTGCAAGCACAAGTTGAGAGGATACCAAGGTAATGTATACAAAGTTTGTGACCAACTCTGTTAACCAAGCTTCTTGAATATGCAAGTTGATGAGCCCAATACACTGTGAGTGGCTGAGAGAACAGAAAACCAACGGTTCTTACAGACTAAATTTGATTAGAGACAAAAAGGGTTAAAAGTCAAATGTCATCAGATAACGTCATCGTAAAGATTCAAAAACTCAACTAATGAGATATTCTTATTGAAAAGTAATAATCATATGTTTCACTTCAATGTAGTCTAGTAACTGTTACAAAACATACCCAGTGAAGAAGCAAAGCAACAGGAGAATGAAAAGGGATGGACCTCCATTCATAGTAGTCTTTCCAACTCGCGATTTGCTTGAGTAAAGGAGAGGAAGACCCTGAGTTTTTATCCTTACATGAATTTACTATAATTGAAATGTAACATTAAGGGAAGAGTAAACAGTCACTACAATTTAATACCTCTGCAAGGACACGATGTGCTCGAAAGATCCCAACTATCAATTACTCTACACGTAGAATCGAATCATGGAATTAGATGATATCCACAACTTATGCGAGAAGGCAAAGACCTGCAATAAAATAAAATAAAAATAAAAAAGAACCTAGAGCAGGATAAAGAGGAAGTCGATGCCCCGCAGCTACATTCAGACAACCACATCCCCAGCTGATGAACTCCTCGTTTACTCAAGAAAGAGCAGCGAGAATCACGTTTTTCAGGATACTGAAACCAAAATGAAGATTTTCAATGAACACCAGATTTCAGAACAAACAAATTAAAATCATAACTCAATTAAGAAATGTTCATTGATTACCTGAAGAACGACTTCTTGAGAAAACGTGAATGGAAAATCCTTCAACGTATCCGCCAGCTTCATTTGCTGTTCTAACCGTTCACACTCATCTTTGTGGACAGTCCAGTGTGAAATCTGACCAATTTAAATAGAAAACTGGGCAAATAAGCATCTGGGCTATGGTGGAGTAACATGAAACACGTTAAAACATCAAACTTGCAGCAGTTTCTGCTAAAGAGATATCAATACTACACTTCTCTCTCCTTTATATCTTTTCCTTTCCGGGAATTAAAATTTTCATTATATCTAATAACAAGAAGTGGGCAGAGCAGGAAAATAGGCTAAGCTAGGAAGGGAAACCTGGTGAGAGATGGAACAATATGCAACGGCTTCGCAGCGGCTACAGAGTCTGGTAGGTGGGCCCGAGCAACGGCCGCGGCTTCCCTTTCCGGCGCACTCCATAGTTAACGACGACTGCTGCTACCTGGTGGTGATAGCAGCCAAATTCTTTCTCGGAGCTTTCGATACGACAGCGTTTAGATCTATGGCTAGATAGTGAGTTGATTTAACAATTCCATATCTTTTACTTTGGCTACTGATTACCAAATCTTTTTACATTTCACATGTTTGGTTTTTTATTTTCTCCATAGAAAATGGCTATCACTAACTTTGTTTAAAATGCTTGGACGAATTTTCCATTGTTTTTTTTTTTTTTGAATAATAACATGTACAAGGAATAATTTAATAATGATACGTGCAAAAAATAATTTACAAGGAAAAATGAACCATAATTTTCTACTATTCGGAGTCTAAGCATTTAAGGAATGTGTTATTTTTTTTTTCTTTTATTTAAGATAAAAGGTTAAAAACTTTTTCTATGTGTGTTTCTATAACTTTCAATTGAGGGAATAATTTGATTTCATTTTTCTCAAACCAAATGGAGTGCTCGTTTTCTCCTCCCACAATTAATAAAACCTGATGTAATAATTGGACGTTCTTTTATAGCATTAGAGTATAAGGCTGCAGTAAAGGCGGTCCTGAATAGTAAGAAGAAAAGAGAAAACGGAGCAGCAAATGTACTAAATTGAAAAACTTTATAACAAGTCAAAACCTTTGTAATCAAAACATGATAACCATTGTGCAAGCATCTGAAAACTCTAAACAAATAATTTAAACACAATATTGCATCCAAAAAACTCCATTTCCAAGGATTCCCAGATTCTCCAACGAATTTCCAGAGCCCGAAGAAGTGTACAATCCTCAATGCTTCCCAGACAGCCAGCACAGCATCCCAAGCAGTAACTAGAATAAATCTTCCTATGGCACTCTCCAGCATTTTTCAATAATTCTGCAAACAGAAACCAGAGTTAGAACCAAGAAACAGTACCAATAATGAATTTTGATTTCCTCAGATTATCTATCTAATTCATAGCCAAGTCCATGCCGAAATAATCCCAAGGATAAACAAAATGTATGAATGACGCAGTATATGAGAAATAACCTTGCTTGTTAACGCCTCTGGGTTTTTCCAGTGGATCGTTTGCCGGAGAACAAGTGTTTAGGTTTCAGGTTAGGAATAGTTCTATCAGCCTCTCCACGTTTTGCATCCTTGTTTCTCTTATTCGAGGATTTCTTATCCAGTTTTCTAGCCTTGGCCTTTTGAGCAGAGTCCTTCAAACCCTCTCCTGGTACAACTTCATTTGGATTTCGTGACCTTGAGCGTGATCTAGAAGATCTAGAAGTATCAATAGACCTCCTCAGCTTTTTGCGAAGTTGACCACCGTCCACATCCATAGCATTGTCGTCTCCTCTTTCAGATGATCTCTCCCTCTTTCTACCCCTAGATTTATCTCGGGCTCTATTGATTGCCAAGCTAGGATCAATTCCAACACGTGATAATTCTCTTCCCATCCTGCCTGAGGTGAACTGCCTGTCTTTGTCAAATAACCGAGGAACAGTTGGTCGGCGCCCACCCGTAGCCTTCTTCATTCTATGTTGCTGAATAAGTAAGCTTTTCTTTTTCCTGATCTGTGCCAGTAACTCTTGCTGTTCTGGTGTCAATTCAGTATCATCCATCTCGAAATCATCATCAGCCTCTTGTTCTTGTCGTAGACCTTCTTCTCGCTCCAGCTCTTCAAGCCTTTGAAGGATATCCGGGTCAATGAAATCATACACATTGTGCCCGTCAAGGATTTCAGGCATTATATCCTCCTTCCATTCATCATTTGCAAGGATATAATGCTTTTTCAAGCTGGCAGAGTATACACCTGCACCACCATTCTCATTCTCCAGATCCCTTTCCAGCTTCCTCTTCTCCTTCTCTGCAGCTTCCTCAGCTTTCTTTGCTTTAGCTTCCAAGACGGCCTGAGGTATGCATACAGGCCTTTCTTTCTGGTCCCTGGGCTTTGGAATTGCAACATGGAAGCGATTCAAGCAGTCGTTTATCTTTTTCGACTTCATCTTCAATTCAACCCTTTGGTTTAATAACCTTTCACAAGCTGCATTCTTAACAGCAATTACACCTTCTTCAGTAAGAGTGCTCATAGTCAAGAGCACACCAGCATCATCTGTGGGTTCACCCCCTTCACCCACCACAGTCTTCATGGCTTCTGACTTCATCTCCATGACCAATTTCATATCTTCCTCAGGTAACGTCTCAAGTGGTTGCAGGTCAGTCTTGTTGCAGACTATAACCAAAGGTTTGTTCATAAAAAGTGACTTGATGCTATGAAAGAGAGCTGCCTGTTGAGCAATGCTATAGCCACAAGAACCTGAAAGGTCCAGAAAAAATAATACTGCAGCCCTCAGATGGGCCAGAGCAGTAATGCTGCACATTTCAATGATATTACGGTCCTCAAAAGGTCTGTCCAGAATACCCGGAGTATCGATCACCTGATACCTTAAATACTTATAATCGGTGTGACCAACAAACAGAGACTTTGTAGTGAAAGCATAGGGTTGTACATCAACGTCAGCCCTCGTGATTTTGTTAATGAAAGAACTCTTACCGACATTAGGGTAACCACATATCAAGATGGTCCTGGTGTTAGGATCAATTGAAGGAAGCCTGGCCATATGTTGCCTTATCTGTTCAAGATAAGCTAAACTAGGTCCAATGCGCTTAATTACAGTACACATTCTTCCAAGGGCAGCAACCTTCAAACTCTTGCACCTATAGAGTGAATCGCCATACTTCAACAATTTCACATAATCCTTTGATACCTTACCAATCAAGTTCCTCGCCGTGTTGATCTGACCTAGGGCCAGCTTGTAGTGGTCTTTGTTGTAGAGAACATGGAGAAGGTCACCATAGAAAGGATGGATGTCATCCAGACGCGGGAATTCGTCAATGATGGTTGAAAGCTTCTCATGGAAATTTTGCTGTGTATATTTCACTTTTCGCATATAAAACTGACGGATTCGGGAAATGGCATAACCCTTGTGCACCACAGTAGGAGTTTGGCGCTGTGTACGGGAAAGGATGATATCAACAAAGTCCTTCCCAGTGGGAACCACTGTAATCTTTTTAAAGTTGTACTGCACCATCCTTGCCGAAAATAATCCCCACAGAAACCCTGTGAAAAGCAGAAACAGGCGCAAAACCAACAAATGACCAGTTAGCTTAATTTTTTCCACAGAAATATCTTAGTTAGTCTTCTATAAAGAAACAATAATCATACCAAGCAAGCTCCTATATACTCAAACAGGTTAAAGAAAAGTCGCCAACACTAATCAACCTCCCAGACCAAGACGAACAAATTCCAAACTTGAATTGGATCCCAAAATGTGGTAAAACAGATGCGACAGATAACAGAAACATGTCTCAGCCTATTAACCAACTAGTTATATCCATATACAGATGAGGCTTATTGCCCAAAAGTTTTTAACTTAATTTCACTATAGGGACAACCAGCAAACATAGATTTCAAGGCAAACAAGTTGCACCACCGCTACATTCGATATCAGAGAACATTTCAAAGATCAAGGACCTAAATTCGAAAATTTGGCACAGTAATTAATCATAAGTAAAACCTAAAACAACGAATTCGCATCCCAAGAGAATAAGAAAAAGAACATATTTAGCCAACCAAATTAGGGTCTGAATTTCGAAAAAGCAATTCCCAACATCCACCATCTCGATAAAATGCACAATTAAATTCAGAGGAAACGAGATTTCACCTTATATTAGTCTGCGGATATGAGAAATTGGCTTATACAAGAAAGCCAACAGCCGCAAAGGGTCGAACAACAGCGGAAGCACGAAGAGGAGAGGCTGCCTATGCTTGGGTTCAGTGGGGAACTGAGAACGACAAAAGGTTATGCTTTGGCGATGGCCGCCAATACAGGTTTTAGAGTTAGGGCTTAAGAGCTATATATATATAGAACATTTATTTATATCCGCCTCCTTTAGGTTTAAACAATTTAAATATTAACTTCTACAGCTTTAAGAATATTACGAATAGCACCTCTAAGTAATCCTTCCTCCCTTCGGTCTTTATTATAAGGCAACTTGATTTTTCACAAATTTCGTTTAATATGTTCTTTAAATTAAACATAAGATTTTTAAAACATTTTATAATAAATGGAAGAATATAAATGAACAATACATTTTTAAGGTTTTATTTTTAGTTAGAAAAACATAATAGATAAAATTTATGACAAATCAAAATGTCTTATAATAAGGATTGAAGGGAGTACTAATTGTGATTTCCTATAGAGTGTCATTTATATTATCAAAAGATTATACACATTCTTTCTTTTAGGGGAAAATATATATATATATATATATATATAATAACCCACTAAAGTTAAAGGGTAAAGGTTATTTTAAAATTTAAATACTAGTAGAACTTATTTCATGTGAATGAATGCAATGAATGATATAAAAAATGTTGATGTAGTTGGTGAGCAATAATATATTTAAAAAGAATGTATTTATTAAAAAGAAGTAATGAAAAAAGGAGGAGGAAAAAAAAAAGACGAAGGAGAATTCTCAACATTAACTTGCAATAGTCATCCTGAAATGATTTAAAAATTAAAGCTTAACGTGTCCTAATAAACTTGATTGTTCCTACGAATAAAAGTTGAAACTTGGAATGGAAGGGATTTCATAAGGCTTGAACTACAATTTAGAAATTTTACAAGTTGATACAGCGATAAAACAAAAGTTAAATAATGGCCAACCTTCATTACCCTAATCTACACTAGAAATATGATAAATTGGAACACTGCGGAATCAAGCTGTCACCATTTATAAACAGTTTCAGATCAAATCTTCCAATATAACCTAACCCCCCAAATATGTCATCATGTATTTACTATACTGATAGAGTTCTGTAGTTGAGCAGCTCAACTAGAAATTACTTGTCGATTTCCTCCTGCACTTGACCAACTGCAATAACAGAGAATGAAGTCAAAACTTGGTAAGATCAATGACCCTGCCAGATGCATTCACAATGAGGCGGAAATAACTTACCAGCTAGATCAACGGCCAAATTCGCCTGTTGATCAGCCTCAGAGTTTAAGTCCTTCAAGAAGAATAGAGTATACTTTTATCAGAACAAGTATGAAATATCATTTCCAAATAGAAGCAGAAAGATACAGGGAAGATAAACCCTAATCAGACATTTAACCTACACTCTCAACCCGGCAACAGACATAGTAACCAATTTCTTGAGCAAATTAAGGCAGATAAATTTAGTGGACATCATGAAAAGAGATACTTGTGAATTTAGTGGACTTACTCTCAGCACATGAATGACCTGGAATGATGAAAATTGGTCCTTCAACCTTTTTGCTTCCTCGTATAAGAGGGAAATATTCTGGTTTTTCACCTTCCACAAACCCTGAATCTGTTCGACAAAGTTGAAATATGGTACTTCAGTCCCAGAAAATGCAAAATACATATATGTACAAGTATGTATTCTGAAATCAAGATGCCACAAGTAAAATAAAACTGATCATCTTGCTTCCACGGATGAAATAAACCAAAAGACCTGCCATAATACACCAAAATGCAGTACGGAGTACATTGTAATAAATAATTCAGCACCTACTTCCAATCTTAATAAAAACAAATTGAGAATCCATTCTTTGGATCATAAGAGCAAATCTTATAAAATGACAGGGGATACGTGCAGAAGAAGGTAATTGGAGGGAGGGAGAGCGGGACCAATGACCAATTAAAAGCGGAGAATGAGGGAACTGAGGATTTTGTAAATAAGAGGAAAGAAAGTAAGCAATAATGGCTATTTTCCTTTCAAACCACCCATACCACCCCACCCAAACCTCCCACCTTAAGTAAGCAATAATGATTTACATCAGATCAATAAGATAAGAATGTTAAGTCCAAAAAGATGCCAATGCATTGACAAACCTGCATGCAAACCAGTTTTGAATCACCTCGGACGCGAATATTTGTGAACCCTTTATCAAGTGCATATCTTAACCCCAAAATTATAGCTCGATATTCAGCAGCATTACAGGTAGCTGTTCCTAAACCTTCACGTAACTTCATGACCTGTAACATTGAAAAGGATAAAAAACATGAGAATTCAACCCCCCCCAAAAAAAAAACGAACTAACAAACAAAAAGCTTATTTGGCAATGTGTTTACCAAGCTTCCATCATCAGCTCGTAGCACAACTCCTGCACCAGCTTGACCAGGATTCCCTTTTGAAGCACCATCGAATTCTATAGTGCAAGAGCGCTGATAGCAAGTAGACACAGAGCAACAACTTTAAAGTTAATAATAGTTACCAGTGAAATCTGGCAGAAATGCAATAGTTAATAAATTCCTCACTATGTCTTGAAACATTAACATTTAGTAAAAACACATCCTAATAAAAAATAAAGGGCAAGAAAGATTTTCTCAATCAAAAACATTGTTGAATTCAGCATTTAATCAGCAGCCCTACTTACCCCAGAAGCAGACCACAGTGCTTCATGTGGCCTCTTCCTTGACACAAGTTGAGTAGAGGTTTCACCCACAGAAGCAGGGAGCTGCAAAAAAATAAGATCTTAGTTAGAAATTACTCAAACCTTCCAGCTAACTAGTTTCACTCATCAGTATCACAACATTGATAACAAGTAGACACAGAGCAAGAGCGCTGATAGCAAGTAGACACAGAGCAACAACTTTAAAGTTAATAATATTACCAGTGAAATCTGGCAGAAAACACTGATAACAATAGTTAATAAAGTCCTCACTATGTCTTGAAACATTAACATTTAGTAAAAACACACCCTAATAGAAAATAAAGGGCAAGAATGATTTTCTCGATCAAAAACATTGTTGAATTCAGCATTTAATCAGCAGCCCTACTTACCCCAGAAGCAGACCACAGTGCTTCATGTGGCCTCTTCCTTGACACAAGTTGAGTAGAGGTTTCACCCACAGAAGCAGGGAGCTGCAAAAAAAAAAAGATCTTAGTTAGAAATTAATCAAACCTTCCAGCTAACTAGTTTCACTCATCAGTATCACATCATTTGATTGACAAAGCAACCCACACAATCAGCAATTCTCTTCCAAGCATGCATCAAATTTTACCTTAGAAAACCAATTAAGCCCAATGCTAACTCATGGACCATCAGGCCAAGAAGCCTTAAAATTTGATCAACAATAACTGCAATTGCAAGAAATTCATCAAACTTTACCTTGTGAATTTCTGTCAACTAAAAGAGAAAAGGGAGAAAAGGTAAACAAAAAAGATGAATCTCCGAATGCCAGTCTGTTGACAACTTACTAGAAAATGGATGTTTAATTGGTCAATATGCTGCAAATTGTCCTAATAGGATGATGCAGAAGAAAACAATTCACACCATTCTAATAAAGATCAAACTGGGAGGCGTTATGAATTTTCCCTTTGGTTTCTACACTTTCATAAGCTTATACATCTGCGCGGCTGTAGTACTTGATTTTCACTTGGAAATGACAATTTACTATAGACAAACTAGTGACCAATTTCGAGATAGACTTAAATGCCCCTTTTGCTTTTTGAGACTTCATCTGCCAAATCCTAAAAAAACATAGGACCCCAAGAAAAAATGACTACCACTACAGCTTAGCAACATACTTCCCTGCCTTCCTGTGAATCCCGTCTGCTCATGTCACCTAGATGACTCCCATGGCTAATCATTGAGACATTGTAGAGGTGGTTTTATAATATAATGTCATTTCTTGGAAAAGGTAATTAAAACACAATAAAGATTTTCCAAAGTTTCAGAAATTTTGAAACCTCTCATCTCAGTAACCTATTAGTTTTACATCAAATTGAATCAAAAGGTGGATTAGATATCTCATCTCACCTGATATGGGCAAGGTACAAGAGTGCCAAAAATTCCTTCCGTCAGATCTTCAGCCTTCACAGTATAAAGAGCATTCTTAAGGCCACAGGACTGAAGATGTTTCTCTGCATCCTTGCGCATAGCTTGACCTTTATATACACTGACAGGAGGATCACATACCTTCAGGGAAAAGAGAGGACATCTTTTAAGATTTTTAGGGTTGTCAACCAACAAATTACAAGGGGAAAAACAGAAAAAGAAGTCCAATCCACATATCTAACATCCTTGGCACAAACCAAAGGCCTAATCTAAGGCAGGAGAAACCTTCTACAAGAGGATGCACTTCAAACAAAAGCCCAGTAAACTTCAAATATAAAGCAAGAAAAAAACTTCTGACATTATTCTATCAAAAATAACTACACATCAAAGTTTGGAAACGAAAGATTTAAAAAACATGCGAAAATAACTGCAGAGCAAAGAGTTTGGCTACTGAAAGTTTGATTTATCTTATGATCCATCATGTAAAATGTAACAAAAAGTGATACCAGCACTATAAGCTACTTCAGAAGAACAAAAACACTAATACCATGGAAAAGAGCATATATCAATCATCGGATAGAGAAAACAAAGGTAAAAAAAAGTGGTTACCGAGTTCCCAACTTGAGCCTGACAATCACTCAAACTCTTGTATACACCAACAATATCCCCTTTTCTAACTACAAAGAATGCTTCTTTATCGTCCTTCATCACTGGCTTTGCCTTTGCTTTAGACTGTTTCTTTTTATTAGAACTCTTAGTGGAATAGCACTGGCAGCGAATTCGAGTGAACAAAAATCTCAAATTGGTAGCTCTATTATCAACATACTGAAAATTAGTAATCCATGAGGGGGCTGCAGAATGTCCACAATATACACCCCTGACAACTATACTGCTAGCCCTTGGTAGTAAAGCAGAAAAATATGCACGAAACAAACTGTTCATCACACTGCAACTCTACCGGGATCCTCCGGAAATCTGAAACACACAAATTGAAATAAATTAAGTATCATTAAGGTAAAACATTTTGACATCCATATATTCAGAGCATACAGTAATAGACTAAATGACCATTCCTTCAGAATAATGCAAGCAATTTAAGAAACAAACTCGTAAAACTAGCAATCCAATAGAACAATGCAAATAACTTAATCAATCATTCCAAAATTGTTCAAAACTTCATTGGGAAGAACATTAAAAGACGGGCTCTTTATTAAAACAATCAGGAACCCATTTGAGAAAAGATGAAAAAAGTGCAAAAAGCATATTGAAAGGAAAATTTGGAAACAAATTAAAATGTTCTGTGTGAAATGGGGGAAATACGAATAATGAAGCGAACAAGATGAATTATCCAATGGATTGAAGAGCTTTGGCAACGTGATCATACCTCTTCTTCACGATCAGCAGTTTACAGAAGCTTTGAGGGGTTGGGTGTGGGCTAGGGATGGGGATAATAGCTACTGTCGTTAATTGTCATTATGGATTGTGATGGGGTTTTGCTGGGTTCAACTGGGAAGGGTTTTAACTCTTTATTAACCAATTGGATCCGCTTCGCCTATTTATTATTTCTTGTTGTTTTTTATCCCTTTTTATTTTTGGCTTTTTCTCTTTTAATTATCGAAGTTCTTATTCTATGAAACACTTCACGTTTCAAAAGGGATCGCACTATTGCCTTTGATCATACAAAAAAAAATGTAAAAATTTGGGCTTTGGAGATATTAAAAAGACTGCAGTGTTATTTTTCAAACAAAAGTGTCACAACAAATGAGCTCGTGATAGGTCCTCCCAAAAAAAAAAATTGTTCTTTACTTTTCACAATCCAAATGTGTTCAGTAGGTTGAATTTCCTATCAAAACTTTGCTCTCGGTACTTTTGAGATAGATAGAATTCTAAATTATTGCTAACTGCAGCTATAGATCTTACAATGAGACAATCTCATTGTGCAAGTATTGTTTACATAAGTTTCTAGAGTAGCAACTTAAGAATCATATTGAGCTTAGAAATAAATCATATCGTTCGAGAAATCACCGAGTATACAAATTCGTGATAGCGTGACAACAGTATCTCTCTTGATATCTCTCACCATCTCAATCCATCTTCATCACTAGCATCGCTTACCGCCTCCTCGATGCAGTGAAGAAGCCTTGAGAACACTGACTGAAAGTGAAGTTAAAATCTCCTTCCTTGAAGTGACCCTAAATTGGAAAAAGACCCTCTCACAATCTCAGTCATGCTGCTGAACACTATAAAATTCAGTATCTTGTCAATCAGCTTTTCTCTCTTTAGCCACATACTTGGAGAACATCCCGACTAGCGCTGCTGTTTCCCTGATTTTCAACCTGCAGAAAACTCAATATTCATATAAGAGTAAAAACCTTTGTATCAATTCACATGGAAAATATGTTGGACACAGCTTACCTGTTTGCAGATCCTGGAATATTCAACTTCGGTTTTCTCCCTTTCTTTGTTTTAGATGGCACCCTTATCTCTTTCTCCTGAGTTCCCTTTTTTTTCTTTGAGGATGGTGACTTGATACTGGATGCATTCTTCCTTTTTGCTGGACCACCCCCATTCAATAGTGGTAGACTGTGATCCTCTTCCAAAACTTCATCATCATATTTTGGCACCAGATCACCTTCAGTATCAAATCTAGTCGACCTTGTCTGTCCCATATTATTCACGCGACACACTTCTGGTTGAGCAGTAAAGACCGGTTCAGCAGAAGGCTCATTCAGAGACTTAAGCGAGCTTCCGCTCATTTTGCATGTTATCTGCTCCTGAACTTTCCCAAAACTGATACTTTGTCCTGTGAACATCTGTACAAACCTGCAATAACAGTGATATTAGCTTGGAACACAATCTTAAGCAAAAACATGACTATGGTTATGTCTCAAAGCCACAAAAGTGCCAAAAGAATAACCAAACAAACAAACAAAACTGCGTCATTAGCAGTTGAATACTCTTCCTGCATTTTTTTTTCAGGGAAAATAAAATGCAGTACAAAAGAGTTGTATTCTCTCATTTTGGATATTTTTCTCTCTTTTCCAGTTAAAGAGGAGCGCCTCATCCGAAACGCTCAACTTTACCCATTTACACTACAACATCAATTACAGAACAGGGCAGGCGGTTGTGGATTCTACTATTGTGACACATTTATACAGTTGCAGGCTTTTTTTTTTTTTTTTTGAAAATAGTTGCAGGCTTTAAAAGGGAATCAAAAGAATTTCATCAAACAAACCTATGTGCTTCGGTGCCAGTTCTGAAATCAATATAGGCCAGGCCTTTACAGATAGGTTCCCTAGTTTTTTTATTGCCAGAAACAACTGGGGCAATCTGAAGAATCCCGGCAACTCCTTTGAAAGCAGAATCAAGATCTTTGTGAATGTTCTTTTTCTTTGGGAGGTTGAACAATCGGACATGAAACACCTCCTGACTAACTTCTGAGGTTGCAATCTTCCCAGCTAGGACAAGCCAAAGTGTGAGGCAAAGTATTATATAATCAGCAGATCAAACTAAGCTTCTTGTGTTTGAGATGACTAAACAGCAAACACTCTAAGCGCGGAAATAAATAGACAACTTATTCATAGGGAATTGAATCGCCCTCAATGAAAGCACAAAAGCTCTCAATCTGAGACTATTAAAACTATCATATTGGCAAAAATATGCATAAAAAATAGCAATGCTGCGGCAGAGAGTGATAACTAAACTTGTATTAACTTAGTGCGATGTAATTTTCTGCCTTTTCTCTGTGCTCTATTGTTTGAGGACATAACGAAATCTCCCTTTTGTCAGTTTAACAAAATTCTGATGACTTATAGCCAGAGGCAGTTACCATAAAGAGCATTCTTAAGGCCACAGGACTGAAGATGTTTCTCTGCATCCTTGCGCATAGCGTGACCTTTATATACACTGATAGGAGGATCTAATACCTTCAAGGAAACAAGAGGACATCTTTTAATAGTTCATCATAACGCATTTAAAATTATAATGGGCAGAAACTGCAATAATATATCTAGGCTTCTCAACCAACAAATTTCCAGAAGGAAAAAAAAAAAAAAAGAAGAACAAGTCCAATCCACATATATAACATCCTTGGCACAAACAAAAGGCCTAATCTAAGGCAGGAGAAGCCTTTTACAAGAGAGTGCCCTTAAAACAAAATCCCAGTAAACTTCAAATATAAAGCAAGACAAAAAACTTGGAACAACATTCTATCAAAATAACTACACATCAAAGTTAGGAAAAGAAAGATTTGAAAACAGCATGCGAAAATAACTGGAGAGCAAAGAGTTTGGCTACTAAAAGTTAAATGACTTCTCATATGATCCATCATATAAAATGTAACGAAAAGTTACACCAGCACTATTAGCTATTTCAGAAGAACAAAAACAATAAATACCATGAAAAAGAGCATATATCGATCTTCGGATAGAGAAAACAAAGGTAGACAAAGTGGTTACCGAGTTCCCAACTTGAGCCTGACAATCACTCAAACTCTTCCCTTTATCGTCCTTCATCACTGACTTTGCCTTTGCCTTAGACTGTTTCTTTTTATTAGAACTCTTAGTGGAGTAGCACTGGCAGCGAATTCGTGTGAACAAAAATCTCAAATTGGTACCTCCATCATCAACATACTTAAAATTCGTTTTCCATGAGGGGGCTGCAGAATGTCCATAATATACACCCCTGACAATTATACTACTAGCCCTTGGTAGTAAAGCAGAAAAGTATGCACGAAACAAACTGTTCATCACACTGCAACTCTACCGGGATCCTCCGGAAATCTGAAACACGCAAATTCAACATAAGAGAAGGTATCTTTTAAGGGAAAACAGTTTGACATCCATTCATTCAGACCATTCTTTCAGAATAATGCAAAAGCAATTTAAGAAACAAACTCGTAAAACTAGCAACCCAACATAAACAATGCAAACAATTTAACCAATCATTCCAAAAATGTTCAAAACTTCATTGGGAACAACATTAACAGATGGGGTCTTTATTAAAACAATCAGGAACCCATTTGAGAAAAGATGAAAAAAATGGAAAAAGCATAGTGAAAGGGAAATTTGGAAACCAATTAAAATGTACTGTGTGAAATGGGGGAAATACGAATAATGAAGGGAACAAGATGAATTATCCAATGGATTGAAGAACTTTGGCAACGTGATCATACCTCTTCTTCACGATCAGCAGTTTACAGCAGCTTGAGGGTTTAGAGGGTGGTGGGTTTTGCTGGGTTTAACTGGGAAGGGTTTTAAGCTTTACAACTCTTACAAACCAATTTGATCTATTTATTTATTTATCTTTGTTTTTTCTCGCTTTTTATTTTTTTTGTCTTTTCGCTTTCGATTTTCCGAGTTCTTTTTGGTGCATTTGCTCTCTGAAACACTTCACGTTTCAAAAGGAATCGCACTATTGCTTTTGCTCATACAACAAAACGTAAAGATTTTGGCTTTGGAAATAGTAAAAATGACTTCAGTATTATTTTGAACAAAAGCGTGGCGCCAAATACGCTCATGATAGGTCTTCTCGAAAAAATGACTTCAGTATTATTCTCACTTTTGACAATCCAATGTGTTCTCTAGCTCAATTTTCTATCAAAACTTTGTTCTCTATACTTTTGAGATAGAATTCTAAATTACTGCGAACTGCACATATAGATCTTACAATGAGACAATCTCATTGAGCAAATATTGTTTACATGAATCTCTAGCGTAGCAACTCAAGAATCACATCGATCGAGCTTAGAAATAATCATATCATTCGAGGAATCATGAGTACACATTCGTGACGGCGTGACAACAGTATCTCACTTGTTATCTCTCACCATCTCAATTCATCTTCATCGCTAGTTTCGCTTACTGCCCCCTCGATTCAGCGAAGAAGCCTGAGATCACTGACTGAAAGTGAAGCGGAATATCCTTCCTTGAACTGACCCTAAATTGGTAAAACACCCTCTCACAATCTCAGTCATGCTGCTGAACACTTCAAAATTCCTCAGTATCTTTTCAATCAGCCTTGCTCTCTTTAGCCACGTATTTGGAGAACACCCCGGCTAGCACAGCTTTTTCCCTGATTTTCAACCTGCAGAAAACTCGACATTCAAATAAGAGTAAAAACCTTTGTATCAATTTACATGGAAAATATGTTAGCCACAGCTTACCGGTTTGCAGATCCTGGAATATTCAACTTCGGTTGTCTCTCTTTCTTTGTTTTAGATGGAACCTTTATCCCTTTCTCTTGAGTTTCCTTTTTTATCTTTAAGGACGGCGACTTGATACTGGTTGCATTCCTCCTTTCTACTGGACCACCCCCATGCGATAGTGGTGGCCTTTGATCCTCTTCCAAAACTTCTTCATCATATTCTGGCACCTGATCAACTTCAGTATCAAATCTAGTCGACCTTGTCTGTTCCATATTATTCACGCGACGCACTTCTGGTTGTGCAGTAACGACAGTTTCAGCTGAAGGTTCATTCCGATATTTTAGCAAGCTTATGTTCATTTCGCATGTTATCTGCTTCTGAACTTTCCCAAAAGTGATACTTTGTCCTGAGAACGTCTGTATAAACCTACAATAACAGTGATATTAGCTTTTAACTCACTCTTGCGCAACGTCAAGTCTATGGTAACCAACCAAACAAACAAAACTACACAATTAGCAGTTGAATGCTCCTCTTCCTGCATTTTTTTCCCAGGAAAAAGCAGTACAAAAGGGTTGTATTCTCCCATTTTGGATATGTTTAATTCGAGCAGCCCACCCTTAAAGCATAAATTTTGCCATTTACACTACAACATCACAGAACAACTATGTGCAGGCGGTTGTGGATTCTACTATTGGGACCCATTTACACTGTCACAAGCTTAAAAAAGGAACCAAAAGAATTTCATCTAACAAACCTGTGTGCTTCAGGCTCAGTTTTGAAATCAATATAGGCCAGGCCTTTACAGATGGGGTCCCTAGTTTTTTTATTGCCAGAAACAACTGGGACAATCTGAAGAATTCCAGCAACTCCTTTGAATGCAGAATCAAGATCTTTGTGAATGTTCTTTTTCTTTGGAAGGTTGACCAATCGGACACGAAACACCTGCTGACTAACTTCTGAGGTCGCAAACTTCCCAGCTAGAAGAAGCCAAGTGTCAGAAAAATAGTTATATAATCAGCAGATCAAACTAAGCTTCATATGTTTGACATGACTAAACAGTAAACAAGTTTGCGGAAATAAATAGACAACTTAATGATGGGGAATTGGATCTCCCTCGAAAGCACAAAAGCTATTGAAACGATCGTATTTACACGAATATGTATATAAAATTGCAATGCTGCTGCAGAGAGGGATAACTAAACTTGTATTAACCTAGTGACGCAATTTTCTGCCTTTTCTCTGTGATCTACTGTTTGGGGACATAATGAAATCTCCCTTTGCCAGTTTGCGACAAAATTCGGATGACTTATAGCGAGAGAAAGTTGCCATACAAGATTCTACCTATGGTTCAATTTCCAAAATCCATTCCCTCTAGACTTGTTGTTTCGGTACTTTTAACTTACTGGTTAACTAGTCGTATCCTACTACGTAGGAACCAGAATATGGCTAAGAAAATGGAAAGCAGTACTCCTGTAAATCCATTTAAATTCTCAAGTCAAATAACATTGTAGACAAGATAGTTACATATAACACGATAACTTTCTTAAGGATCCCTAATGTCTGAAAGACCACATTCCATTGATAAACCAAAAAGAGTCGTCAAATATGTATCGATTTTGATCGGAATATCCTGCAAACCAATACTTAAACACTTAGCGAAAATGCACGTTATCTATGCTACGGACTACTGACGGACTACAAATTAAGTAAGCGGCCACAAGAACACTAACTGAGAACTCTGACCACACATTAACCATTCCATCCATAATTAACCGAAAATGACATGAACCTGTTGCTTGTAACAATGAATTCAAACAAGTCTACACAGAAGCATTAGCGAAAAAGGATAAGAAATCTGCATAATTCAATTGTGAAATAGAAACTGAAAAAGGACCAACCTTTCTCTTGCTGACTACTAGCCTTCTTAGTAATGGAACCCACAGGGTTATTCTTCAAATTATTAATATTAGCAAGCTGAGCCTTTCTACTCTGCTCAATTTCCTCCATCAGCTTATCCTCAATTGAAGTATCATACACTTTACCTTCACCAAATCCACGCGGTTTCTTGGCAAGCCACTGTTTCATATTTACCAAAGGAATAAATTCTTCATCTTCATCACCGTCACCATCATCATTATCAATCTCTTCAGAAAATTCTTCTTCGTCGTCGTCTTCCCAAAAGCCACCATCTTCGTCGAAATCCTCCACTTCCAATACACTATGACTACCTTGCTTTTGACCATCTGAGGCATATACACAGAGCCCACTTCTTTTCTGCCCAATAACTTTCAAATGACCAAGATGGGCTAGTTTATGCGTTGGAAAACTTGCTATTACTCGGGATTGTGGGGTTCTAGCCGGAAAAATGAAGGCTGTTGATAAGGGTTTTTGAAGAATAACAGCGTAGCATTGTTGCCCAGCTGGATACCTTCCTATACTGAGCATTTCGTGAAGTGAAAAAACTTTAGGATTTCACTAGAGAGGATAATTCTTAACACTCAGAAATCAGAATTCTCAGAGGTTCTTTGATGTTTGAGCAAACTGGCGAAAAAGATGGACGTTTACGGACACCACTTTTTAATTAAACAATTTGGGCCTTTAAGCATGAATATTTAGGCCTTCAGCAGCAGTTAATAGTGGCTTCGAATCTTGTAATTGTGGGCTTTAATGCAATTTTGGGCAGTTCCATAAAAAAATAGAGCTTGGCCCATAATATATAGGCTCTGATTTACTGTCCAACAATGTTCTATAAGCCATAAGGGGAAAAAAAGAGAGAGAGAAACAATTTTGGTTAATAGATCAAACTTTGTTTCATTTTCTTAAAAAAAAAAAAATTCATTAGTGAAGGAAGACTATAAAATATTTGTATTAGATGTAACCTCCGGCCCGTTTGATAAATGATTAATGTTGGAATAGGAATGTTGCATTTATTAATTAATTAAAATTTAAGAATCAAGATCTTTCGGAAAAAAAAAAAAAATTTAAGCATCAACATTGTCAATTTTGTTTTGGTTAAGAGATTGGCTAACTAACTGGTCATCGAACGTTATGTAACATGAATCATCTTGATTGAATATTATTTTAAGTATTAAGTGGTTTTATTACTGTACATCGTTGGTCCTCATATCATTTGACTAATTAGTGCAACGCATTTTTCATAAAAAAAATAAAAAAAAAATCAAAAGAGAACTTTGTCCAAAAAATAAAATAAAATGCGAACATATCACATTGAGATATAGTGGCACGCATAGTGTAAATGGCTACGTCGGGAAGAGAAATGGATTTTTATTTTTATTTTTTTTGTTGACACATCAAGCTGATAATAAAACACGATTTCATTTCACAACTTTTCCAAACAGTTTGATATGGTTGAAACCTATATATAAGTTCCACTTGGCGATTCATTGACTCCAAAAATCATATTTAACCTGTTTTTAGTAATGTTGGAGGTCCACATCCATGTTTGCTTTTATGAGGTGATTAAGAATAAATAATCTTTTAATTCTCTTGTGTTTCCACAAGTTATCAATATTAACACAACGATCAATTTCTACTCGCACATATTATTGAAAAATTTCCAACTTTTAAGCTAAGAAACTCTTTCAATAATCAAAATTATTGAAAGACTCGAGACTGTTTCGAGAGAAGATACGCTCTTACACTTGAACTTTCATATTTCTTTAATTTACTCATAATTAAGTCTTGATATACTATAATCTAATTAATCATTTCCAGAAGGAACTTCACCTACTGACTTCCCTCCCCTTTTTGGTGTTTTCTTGTCTTGATGTTAACAGGTTTCAGTTAATCAGTAACGACTGTGAAGTGTAGTATTAATTATGTTGACCAAATCAAAAGCAAAAACAATTAAAAGAACCAAGAAAGTAAAATAAAATCTCCCCCCGCTCCTCCACACCCATAAAGACAAATCTAGGCTCGAAAAATAAATTATACAACTGGAAATAATGATCAATCAACCTAGCAATAGAGTCTACATTATCCAAAGAGACCTCCTTTTTTGAGTTCTTTTTTTCCCAGTAATGCTGAAGCTAGGCTATGGAAGGATTTTAATAAATGAAATGGGGTCAATTGGTGTATTAGTCTGGAAAATTTCTTTGGAAATTAGGCATATGTAGGGTTGGTCTAATTTCAAAGTTGTTTTGGTATCATATCATTGATTCAAATTAAAAACTGTTGAGCATATGAATTGAAATGAAAGGTTGAAATTTGTTGCCTCCAATACCAGTTGTTAGCAGTACTAGCAGTTCAAAATCACATCTGTGACTGCAGGAGAATTCAGACTTCAGAACTTAATGTTGAAATCTTGTTTCTTGGGGGCCGGCCTGAATCTTTTAGACTTTGTTCGTTATGCTTGATATTTTGGTTTCAAACATCCGTACACATTCATATGTTCATCCATCAGTCTTTGTTGGTTGGTTGGCTTTAGCTGTTAATTGTTATTCATCTCTGTACAACGTAATTTTTCTTGTATGGGATTCACTTCTGCTTTTTTTCCTAGTTAAACTACGTTTTAATATGCAGTAAAGTAGTGATCAAAATTTTAAATGCGAGATTATCCATCTGGAACAGTCATTAGTCTAAAAAGTTGATGATTCATATTATTTAGAAAATATTTCAATAGTATGTAGGTCTACAATGGTGGAATTGGTTTTCATATCTGGAAAAATCTAGATTATTTATAAAGTTTCAATAACTCTGTTTATACAGGAAAAAAGAGAAGCCGACACATTAAATAGAGTATCTAACATGTCATAACTAAAACTAACTGCCTATACAGATATTTACAAGTAAACTCTTTAACTATACAACAATTACACTTTACACCTTAATTATGTACAATGGTTGCTACATCCCCCGCAAGCTTTAGCATGGAACAAGTCTTGCATGCCAAGCTTGGATTGCAAACTGAGGAACAATGGATGTGCAAGAGACTTAGTGAGAATATCTGCCAACTGCTCCTTGGAGGGAAGAAAGAGAGGAACCAAAATCCCTTGATCATAATGGTGTCTCATAAAGTGACAATCAAGCTCAAGGTGTTTGGTTCTTTCATGGAAAATAGGATTTTCTGTGATATATATGGTTGATTGGCTATCACACCACAGAGGAATGGGGGTAGAAACTGGAACGCCAAAGTCATGCAAGAGGTAAGACAACCACAGAAGCTCCTTGGTAGTGTGACTAAGGCGTCTATACTCGACTTCAGAAGATGATAAAGATATTGTGTATTGCTGCTTTGTTTTCCATGAGATTAAAGAACTTCCAAGAAAGACACAGAAGCCAGTGATGGACTTCCTGTGGACTGGATTTGATCCCCAGTCTGCATCACTATAAGCTTCAACCTGGAAGGTGTTATGTGCAAAGTAAAACAATCCCAAAGAAGGAGAATGTTTCAAGTACTTGAGAATATACTGAAGAGCATTCCAATGATCACTGCAGGGATGGTGAACATGAGTACTAAGTTGCTGGACAGTATAAGTGAGATCTGGTCTAGTGAACCCTAAGTAGAACAACTGTCCAACAATTCTCCGGTACAAAGATGGATCAGAAACGGGTTCACCAGGCTTATCCGAAAACTGATGACCCTTAGGTAAGGGTGTTATGCTGGTTTGCATCCGAACATCCCTGTGTTTTTGAGAATGTCCAAAACGTATTTCCTTTTATTCAAATAAATCCCTTCTGCAGCTCTTGTAATTTCAATACCCAAGAAATACCTTGCTGGCCCTAAATCTTTTATAGTGAACTAATCATGTAGAAACTGCTTGACCGAATCAATGGCTATTAAACTTTCTCCTGACACTAGAATATCATCCACATATACAACCAAAGCTACAAAAGAACCAAGTATAGTACCAAGAAACAGACAAGGATCATGCAAAGACTGTGTTAGACTAAAAACTTTCATTTTTGAAGTAAATTCCAAGTTCCACTGCCGGGAAGCTTGTTTCAAACCGTATAACGACCTTTGCAGTTTACAAACTTGCCCTGCTGATGCTGGATAACCCTCGGGAGGTACCATATACACTTCCTCCTCCAAGAAACCATGTAAAAACGCATTGTTAACATCTAACTAGTGAAGAATCCACTGTTTTCATGCAGCAACAGCAAGCAAAAGTCTAACAGTAATGGCCTTTGCCACAGGTGAGAAGCTATCATAATAATCTTCTCCATCGGTCTAGTTGTATCCTTTTGCAACTAGTCTAGCGTTATACCTTTCAGCTGATCCATCCGAGTTATGTTTTACTTTAGATACCCACTTGCACCCTATAGCTTGCTTTCTAGGCGGCAAAGTGGTTAAAATCCAAGTTTTATTACTCATTAGTGCAACTAGTTCAGCTTGCGTTGCTGCTACCCATGCTGGATGATTTTTAGCCTGAGAGTAAGTTTTTGGTTCTATAACTCTATCAATCTGAGCTAAGAAGGAGATATAGTGTGGTGAGAAGCCTGATACAGGAATGAATGGATATGTTTGTGGTGTATGAGTTGAATTGTTTGAAAGGAAATTAGAGGATAGAAGTTCTTCCTGGACCAAATGGACTTTATGAACATCAAAATCATCCATCCATTTTTGATTTGTTCTAATTCGGGTACTTCTTCTATGATCAGGAATCAAAGGAGGATCATGAGATGGAGGAGAATGGTTTGACGGAGAATTATTATGAGGTGGGGGAAAAGAATCAGGTGTAGGATCTGATAAAGAATGAGACTGTGTAGAATCAAGTTCTGTTATATCCTATTCAGTGCCTGATGCTGGTGTTGTCAGGATCAGATAATCAAAAACATCATCAGGATCAGATGATAATGTAGGAGAAGGTGTCTTGTCTGATAGTGGTTTCATGGAAGACCACGTCTCTGGAGATGAATGTCTTATGCGAATTTAGGTCATAAAGTTTGTTTGCTTTCTGTCTAAAGGGATATCCAAGGAAGATGGCTTTTATGACTCTTGGTGAAAATTTATCCTTTGAGGAATGATGTTTGTAGCAAAACACAAACATCCAAAAGGTTTGAGATGATCCAAAGTTGGTGCTTTATGATACAACAACTCATACAGACTTTTCCAATTCAGAATCGAAGAAGGTAACCTATTGATTAAGTATGTTGCTGTTAACACAGAATCTCCCCAAAATTTCTTTGGAAGAGAGGATTGGAACAAAAGAGCTCTGGCTATTCGTAGAAGGTGTTTGTGTTTCCGTTCAACAACACCATTTTGTTGTGGTGTATATGGAACAGATTTCTGATGGATAATGCCACGAGAAGATAACAAATTTTGACAAGATTAACTAAGAAACTCGGATCCATTGTCTGATCTGAGTGTTTTAATCTTAGTTTCAAATTGAGTAGAGACCATATTAAGGAAATTGGACAATATAGAAAAAGACTAGGTTTTATTATTCATAAGGTATGTCCAAGTACATCTCGTAAAGTCATCTACAAGTGTAAGAAAGAACGAAGCACCAGTATAAGTAGGATGCTTATACGGTCCCCAAATATCAACATGTACTAATTCAAAAGCTTGAACTGAAAAAACAACTCTA